GCGTGGGGCGGCGAAGAGAAGCTGTCCAACTCATCCAAGATTCAAGCAAGTGCCCTTGCGGGAGGCACGGCAGGAATGGTCGGAGGACTGATTCGTGAGCATTCCTTTTTGCTAAGATATTGAAAGTTATACATATAGGCCTTTGTAATAAAATTTGCTTCTCTTGATTATACTGAAAATTATCTTTGCAGGCGTCATCTGGCTCTGCTCAGGATAGATCAGTCTCAAGAGATAGTTACCAATTACTCACTGTTCCGAATCCGAGCTTCTCATTGGACAAGCTTGAAAACCGAGAGCTTTGCGTGGGGAGAGGGGTCAGCTGGTAGTCCGTGGTATGTTAGAAACCACATGGGAACTATGACTTACAATTGACTTGTCTGGATTATCAGGAAAGCTTCCAAGACAAAGGTACCTAGGCTCGATACAATAAACCCAGCGAAGCATTATCCCGTTTTCAGACTCACTGTGCCCACTTTGTCTTGTTGAGTAGTTTGCAAGCTCTGAAAATCAGTCGTAGGTAGCATGTGTGAGATGCCAGTTGCAAAGAACTAAGGAGGCTCGGACCGAAGCTGGACTATGAAGCGGGAGAGTTGGACCCGAAGCCATGGTAACTCATCAACTGCTGCGAGAACCACCGACAATGCCGCTGACTACTCCGTACCAAGCATCCAATCTCCCGGGTCGGTGGGCGGGTGAGGTTCATCCGAGTCATGAGCCAAGCATGGATGCCAATGGGCGTTACCCGGCGAAAGAAAGCTTAAACTTAGGGCTGTTTAGAATATATTACAGCAACTGTCCGTCGTTTTCGTCGCTTTTGGAGTCGGAGAGATCACTTTTCTAGAAACATCCTCCGCAATTCGGTAAATGCGCTGGCTGAGCCTCATGTCTTAGTGCACCTCGAGTGCCGTGGCTAAAGACTTGGGTAGTCGTGTGCTATTCGCAGGCTGATTGATGCAGGAGTGACACTACACCAGCAAGCCTGAACAACGTCAGGTAATTCACAGACAACCCCCTACCACTGCCGGACGCAATCGCGTTCCCAGTCATAGTATATGGGCCCAGATCTAGACTCTTGAATCAGCCTTTGACTCCATCATGAACTCAGAATAATTTCACGATAGCGGAGGCGGAGTCTATTGGGGCTGACGAACTCCCACCGGGAGTCCGGGAACACTGCCTATCCCTCGTTTACGCCAAAAGAATGCAAATGTTCTGCTGGTGCGTGGCCCATCTTGGCGTAATAGCTCCATCTCGCACCAATCTTATACCTTAGGTAGGGGTGACCCATTATTATAGTTAATTGAGCTCCAGCACCACCAAACCGAGCTAGGCCACTTCGTGGGCAGGAAATTTCCAGGTGCCGTCCCTATTCTGCGAGTCAACGACTCCTGAATCCACGCTATGTAAGCAGACTCAGCAAAAGTTGCAAAAAAGTTTCTTAGAGAGTACCAAGACTTTCTTAATGTGTTGTTCCTGCTGACCCAAAGTGCCAAGATGGATCCATCTCCGTGGTATCATTATCTGCCTGAACCGGAGCCGATTGCGACAATGAAGCCATGTCCACACTGCATTCTATAAATCATCACCAGCGCCGTGCTCTCTCTCTGCCCGCGATATGCTAGAAGTAGTTGATTATACCTTTCTCTCTCACCCACATTCTTTTGTGTGATTCGCAAACCCAACTTTTACACTCTTTTTCAAAGTACATACAGAAACACATTCTTTTTCACAATGTTGGTCATCCCAACAATACTCTCCTGCCTCTCCCTGGCCCAGGCGGCCAACATCTTCGTTTCCCCCAAGGGCGTAGCGACCCCAGATGGCTCCCAAGCCAAGCCCTTCTCCGACATCCAAGCCGCCGTTAACATCTCCCAGCCAGGCGACGTCATCATCCTCCGCGGCGGCACCTATGACCTCCTGAAGAACATCAACATCACCGTCAACGGCACCGCCGCCGCTCCCATTACCCTGCACGCCGCCAAGGACGAGGAGGTCATCATCGACGGCGAGGGTCTGCCGGATACCCCCGCGCCCGTCGGCGCTTCCGTGCCGGGCCGGAACCGTGGTGTGCTCCACGTTGAGCGCGTTCAGTACTGGAACTTTGCGCGACTTACCTTTACGCACGGCGCGTACGGTGTGTACGTGAAGGATTCGAGCAACTTGCGTTTTAACCAGATTGTTACTCGCGAGAACTACGAAAGCGGTTTCCACATGCAGGGTGCCCTGTCTAACAACGTAATCTCGTACCTGGATTCGTATGGTAACCGTGACCCGAGAAACAACGGCGAGAACGCCGATGGTCTTGCTATCAAGGAGGGCAAGGGCGAGGGCAACATTGTCGTTGGCAGCAGATTCTGGGACAACTCTGACGATGGTGTCGACTTCTGGTGCGTCTTTTGCTAGTTGCAGATGCTTTTTGATGCATAAGCTGACAGTATCGCAGGGAGTTCCACTCCAAGTTGACCATCAAGGACAGCATCGCGTGGGGCAACGGCTTCAATCGCTGGGTAAGTCAACATCAATCTCGAAGCCAATCCTCACTACACCGTTCTAATAAACCACCCCAGGACATCCCCGACTTCACCGGCAACGGCAACGGCTTCAAGCTAGGCGGCGGCAGCGCAGGCGACATCCTCCCCGCCGCCCGCGACGTCATCAACTGCATCGCCTTCGGCAACAAGGCCAACGGCTTCACCGACAACTCCCAGACGGGCGCCTTCGCCATCGAGGACAACACCTCGTGGATGAACGGCAAGACGGGCTTCCGCAGCGTCAACGCCACGGGCGTCCTCAAGCGCAACGTCGCCGCCCTCAACAACCCCGAGGCCCTCGCCAACGCCACCTACTTTGGCCAGGCGACGCTGCGGGAGCGCCAGACGTCCATCGGCAACTCGTGGGATGTTTTGGGCGCGGCTGCGCTGACGAACGCGAGCTTCAAGAGCGTCGATATCAGCCTCGTTTCTGGCGCGCGCGGCAAGAACGGAAAGATTGTGCCGAGCGACTTTTTGGTGCTTGCTGATGGGTCCAAGAGGGGCGCTACCACCAACTGGAAATAAGCAGAGCTTGATGTAGATAGGCTTTCTTCTATTTAAGCGGACTCAGTTCGTCTAAGAGTTGCGGTGGCTTTCGTGACTCTAAGGAAACCAAATTTTAAGCTGACGTATCTCTAAGGTACTTCGCGCAAGCTTGAATGGAATGGAGGTCGTCTTCGTGCTAATCACTCTACCTTATAGACCGACCGGGTCAAACTCTGCCATCCTCCTTTCGTGAATTTGTATGTGTGAAGCCACTTGGCTGGACAATATGACTGTGGACTGTGAAGACCATCCCGCCTTAACATTTACTCGCTAGTCCTCTACGATTCTATCGGTAACAGATAACGTCAGTCAATACGCCTTCGATTTTATCCAAGGCTCATTCTGTTTCAAAATTTTCGATCATGGTGCATCGTGAGGAAATCGGACGATGAAAGTGTGGTTGATGAGGATCACAACGCCGTTTGTTGATGCTCTGAGTGGCGATACTGGCGATGCATCGAGGTCATTCAACGGTCTAAAGGATGGGATGCCATCATATTTACTAGAATGTGTGCATACCAGTCAGCCCTGAACTTTTTTGCACGTAGTCAAGATCTCTTGATGGGCGTTCGATTTGTTCCTAGTGGCCAAGCTAGAAAGCCAAGCTAGAAAGCCTCACAACTTAGCCTTCATCTTGCGCCATACTCACGACCCATCCGCGAGGGGTGGCACACATCTCCGCTACCACCCCCACAGCAAGCGCTGTTGAGCCGACACGTCGGCCGTGTAGCGGGGGCCGGGACACGGGGCGGACCACGGGCGACAAATAAAAAAGCACGTTGCTCTCCGCTCCGGAATCGGAAGTCGAATGGAAAAAACAGGGTAATGACGGAAACAAAGTGGGATGCGAGCCTGATTTTGAGCGTGGGATGTCACCCAGGCGCCACAGAAATAGAGGCGAAGGGAAGATGGTTGATACGACTGTTGAAAATAGGGGTGTGCGTGACGTAATGAGCATGTCAAGCTCGGCACTCCCCTGCCAAGCAAAGTCTCCGGGCGTCGTGATCAATGTACGAGGTGTGAGGTGTGAGGTGATGTGATCATGCGCGTCATGTCACGATCTCACCTTAGCTCATCTGCACCTTAAACTCTCTGCTAACGCACTCTTGATCCATTTGAAGCAGATTACCGACAGATTGGATTGAAGAGATCAATACCTAGATCCAACTCCATCGTAAACCTCCCTTTCGTCCAATACAGCGTCTCACTTATTATCGAAGAACCTCACACAATGAAGTGCATCGGCATCTTCCCCGGCTCAGGAGGCCTAGGCGGTAGCACCTACGATTACCTCTTGAAACTTCTTCCCAGCGACCACATCATCCTCATCAACCGTCATCCGGAGCGAGTACCTCAAGAACACATCAAGAACGGCCTCCGCGCACGTAAGGCGTCATACGAGTCGAGCCCCTCTGATCTCGAGGCTGCGTTTGCCGGTATCGAGGTGCTCTTCCTCATTTCCTATCCAAGTCATGTGCACGAGTACCGCAAAAAGGTGAGAAGCAAAGAGCTCAAGTTGGGCTGGTCTCATCCCCAAGTCGGATGGCCTGACAAGATTCACAGGTGCAACTACCAGTCGTCAACGCAGCTCGTCGCGCAGGCGTGAAACACCTCTTTTACAGCTCCCTAGCCTTCGGCGGCGACTTGCAAGATGAATCTGTAGCGGAGGTAATGCAGGCCCACCTCTCGACGGAGCGCCACCTAGCCTCCGTCGCGGCCTCGGACCCTAGCTTCACCTACACATCCATCCGCGAGGGTCTCTACTCGGAGTCGTACCCAATCTACACCTCTTTCTTCGACATCAACTCTCCCTCATCCTCGAACGAGATCCTCATTCCGCATGACGGCGCCGGCCCGGGCGTGGCGTGGGCGAAGCGCAGCGAGTTGGGGGAGGCGACGGCGAAACTTATCGCGCAGTACTCCTGGGACCCGGAGCAATTCCCTCACGTCAATAAAAAAGTCCTGCTTACCGGTTCGCGGGTCTGGTCTCTTGAGGAGACGGTGAGGGTGCTTAGGCGGGCTGTCGGGAGGGACGTGAGGATCCGCGAGGTGAGCGTGGATGAGTACGTGAAGTTGCCGCAGGTTTTGGCGAAGTTCGGGTCGGTGGAGAAGGCGAGGACGTGGGCGACGGCGTGGGAGGCGATTCGGGCGGGGGAGACTTCTGTTGTGTCGGAGACGTTGAGGGAAATTATCGGGCGGGACCCGGAGGAGTTTGACGTCACGATACAGAGGTTGGGGCAAGCATGAGGGCATAGTCTGGAGGCACTTTCTCGATGATTTAGGTGGGAGTGTAGATATGAATGGCTTCGTGAGCGTAGTGGGCTGTAGTAGTTGGTCGGCCACTGCCTAACATCGACTTTGGGATTGCCATAGCCATGGGACGGAAGGATTCGCGCGCAGGACTTTGGACGAACATTTCGTTGCGGTACTTGGTCGAGCCAAGTCCAGATCAGGTGGCTGTCGAACAGAACGATGATTGAGGAAAGAGGCCGAGAGCGAAAAAGAGTTGGCTCTGGACTTGAAGGGGAGAGAAGCAAAGGGAGAGAGGGACAAGAAGGAAGAGAGGAGAGGGCGTATTGCCCGGCTGATCTCCGGCCAGCTTGCCCTTCATGGGATGGCTGGGCCCCAGGAATCTCAACCACGGGCGATTGGTTTAGTGGTATAATGACCGCTTAGCATGCGGTAGGTCCTGGGTTCGATTCCCAGATCGTCCAATGTTTTTGACTCGCAACTCTATCATTGGGTTTTTCCTTTTTGGTACTGCCCTCATCAGCGGTCGCATCGTGTGCTTGCTTTGCCTTGTTGTGTACTCCGTAGTTGCATTAGAATTGATGGAACATGAATATTTGTATACGCAGGTAGTTGACAATGATTCGGTACATGTGCCGTAGTGTGCATCTTAGTCACTGTACATAGCTTAGGTACGCAAGGTAATAAGATGACAATGGGTTCAACAAAACCATTGAGAGAGCGTCGTCGAAATAAAACTTTTTAGAAAACTCCGTGACGCACTGAGGATTCTTTGTTCAAGAGACGGCCACCGAAGCCATTCTGGCTGTTCAGTCGCGATTTCTATGAAAGTCACTGATGAGAAGAGCGCCTTTGTTTATGAATGATCGGCAGTCTCTGCCCAAAGCTGTCTGCAGCCTGGACTAGCGCCAGGGCACCTATCGTCGACAATGCGGCCGTGGTTTCCCTGGGAATTCCCAAGCTTTTCGTATACCTCAGATTCAGGACATCAAGTACGTCGTTTCTTGTCAATTCAATATCATAGTGTCCGTACTTCACTCTATTCAACTATGCGGACACCTCCGTCACTGATGGGAATGATGCTGGAGTGCTCCAGATGAACTCGTATTGACGCTGGGATAAGCAGGCGGGGGATCGTATTAGCGCCCATCCACCAAATAAGCGTTTTAAACTTAAATCGGCACCCAAATGATGTGCTGATAAGGATGAGAAGAATGCCGTGCTGTGCCGTTCCCCCAATTCAAGAGATGCAGCTGGAGACATTCTTACATACCTCCCCTTCCGGTCTAGAACTCGGACGATTCTTCCTCCAAGACACACGGCGCAACTAGCCCGTAGCCTATCTCAATCAAGCTCTTGTTGCAGGAAACGGGCTCATGCAACCCAGTAGGCCTCAAAGTCCAGCTTTGCGTGCTTTGCCCAACCCCCAACCGATCGCCAAAGTACCCTTGAATCCTTACCGCCGCGCTACCCCGGTTCCGGCAGGTCGGTTGCCCGCAGTCCGGCACTTGACCTCCTGGATCTGTCCAAGACTCCAAGTCTCTGAGGAAGCTCGCGGGGGCCACTGACAGCCAGGCACTGCGGTGTTGTTTGCTTGGGTCGCATCGGGGTCCACCACCAGTCCTACCAGCCCAATTTATCTAGGCCTTTATTCCACTTGCTTAATCAAGTCTTCAAGGCCGACCAGACGATGCAAAAGGTCCATCAAGCGCGCTTCTTCAAAGTTTGTGGTCTGCTATTCGGATTCGCCATGCCGCTCTTCCCGTCAACTAATGTCTCTATGAAGCGTGTAGAACCTGCCCGTGTAAGCAGCCGCCTCCCATTCCAAGGGTTGCGTGCTCGTCTGATGATGCAAGATACCCCTGGCCAAGATAGACACGCCCAGCCACAGTCGAATGCTTCTCTCCAGGCTTCCAACCTTCCCTCTCCAGGTCCCAGTCCCCTCCGCTCTCCTCCGCCCGTCTCCCAAGCCTGTGATCTGTGCGCCATTAAACGCAGAATCACCAGCCAGTCGTGTCGGTAGCCGTGGATCTTCACTCCCGTTTACCTTCCCCCCTGAGCGCGGAGAAGCGAGCTTGGGGTAGCACCACCTCCAACTTTGAAGATACCACCTCCAAGTTCCCTCCCCCTCTTACACCGCAGAGGCGGGGACTTTTGTCTGCAGCTTGTTGCCGCATCTCGTTCTTGCGTTGATCAGGCAGGTCTCTCAACCAAAAGTCCATCAGCTAGAGAAGGTAGGCAACATTATCGGCGTCAAGAAATCGAACAAAGTCAAATGAGAAAAGAGCACAGACAGGACAGACAGGGCAAACTTGAGATACCAAGATACTTTTCTCTCGAGGCGGGCCGCAATGGCCCAAACGGGAAGGTTGTAAGAGCTGCCCAGGCGATCCCCGACGGTCCGATCCTCGTCATTCATCCTGTTCCTGTTTCCCGTTGGCTCTGCCGTCGAAAAGTATCTCAGGCCTGGAAACTATGTTTTTCTACTTTCCCCTCTTATCCTCAATCCCTGGTAGTAGTGGTTGGACACGGCTCTCCTCGTACCTCGTAACACCGTACATAAAGGAGAGCACACCCGTGCGATCCTCAATCTTGGCGATGCCTTCTCTCGTGCACCCTCGCTGAACTCGTTACGCGCGGTCGCCATACACTCACTCCCGGCCAAGCTCCTCCTCTCCCTCAAGAGTTCTCTTTCTCGTCGTTGAAAGTAACATACCACCGCAACGATGAAGTCCCTCGCCGCCCTCTCCACCCTCGTCGCCGCCGCGACCGCCGCCTCAGTCGCCGGCGCGAGCTCCAAGCGCGTGAGCTACGACGGCACCAAGGTCTTCCGCCTCTCTGTCGGAGACGAGGTCGACAGGGTCAATGGCGTCGTCGACAAGCTCCAGCTGACGACCTGGAAGGGCGCCCCGAGAGCCGGTGCCTTCGCCGACATCGTCGTTCCAGCCACCGAGGTCGAATCGTTCAAGGCTGAGGTTGCCGGCATGAACCTCACCACCATGCACGAGGATCTCGGCGCCTCAATCGCAGATGAGTCTGGCTTCTCTGTCTACGCTGGTAAGTCTTGACACCTCTCCAAGGCTGGATGCCCCCTCACCCTATGCCACACGGCCATCCCACGCGGATGCAATCTCGCAATATGCCAAAGTTCGTCAACTAACTTTTCTCTCAGTCGGCTCCGCCAACGCGACCTGGTTCAACTCGTACCACGCGTACGCCGACCACCTTCAGTTCCTCAAGGACCTGGTCTCGTCGTACCCCAGCAACGCCGAGATCGTCACCTCGGGCTCCTCCCTCCAGGGCAACGCCATCACTGGCATCCACATCTACGGCACCTCAAAGGGTACCAAGCCCGCCGTGGTCTTCCACAGCACCGTCCACGCCAGAGAGTGGATCAGCACCATGGCCAACGAGTACATTGCCTGGAACCTCCTGAGCAAGTACTCCTCCGACACGGAGATCAAGAGCTTCGTCGACAAGTACGACTTCTACATCTTCCCCGTTGTCAACCCTGACGGTAAGTCCTCATTCCCGCTCAATATATCACGTCAGTGAACCCTCTGGCTAACTGTCTTCATCAAGGCTTCATCTACACCCAAACCACCAACCGTCTCTGGCGCAAGAACCGTCAGAGCACCTCCGGCAGCACCTGCATCGGCCACGACATCAACCGCAACTGGCCCTTCCAATGGTCCGTCACCGGCGGTGCCTCCACCGACCCCTGCGCCGAGGACTTCAAGGGCCTCTCCCAGGGCGACGCCCCCGAGACCGCCGCTCTCTCCGCCTGGCTCGCAAAGACCAAGTCCGCCCAGGGCCTCAAGCTCTTCATCGACTTCCACGCCTACTCCCAGCTCTTCATGACCCCCTACGGCTACTCCTGCACCGCCGTCTCCGCCAAGAACACTGAGCTCCAGTCCCTTGCCAAGGGTGCCGTCGCCGCCATCAAGGCTGTCCACGGTACTTCGTACCAGTACGGTCCCATCTGCACCACCATCTACAAGGCGACCGGCAGCAGTGTCGACTACGTCAACGATGTTGTCAAGGCCGATTACACCTTCACTCAGGAGCTTCGTGACACGGGTAACTACGGCTTCGTCTTGCCTGCTGCCCAGATTGTGCCTACCAGCGAGGAGACCTACGCTGGTGTCCGCTACTTGCTCCAGAACATGAAGTAAATGGCGTTCGGGTATAACTTTCGGACGGTTTTTCATATGAGAACAGAAGCCTGATGACACCCCCTTTCATGTATCTAGTTTAACCAACCCTTTCTGTAAGTATTCCTTCAGAACATGAACAAATAAACAATCTGTACACATCAACTTTCCGTCGCAAATGTGGACCTGTCTTCTCAAACTTGTTCGCAAGCCAATCGTGTGTTTCGTTTCCTGCATGCCTTGGCCTATTAAACATAAGAACATCCGTCCAAGCACGGCCCGTCGGCACGCTGATACGTCCTCGGTGCCATGGAACCATCAAACTTCAGACGACTTCTCGGCTGCATGTGCAAGCAAAGGTGGCCAAGCACAAGTTCTCCGCCGATGTCGTATGAGTTCCTGGGCGTTCCTGGATAGGAGGGGAAGAGGGCCCGAGCCAAGGATCTTCCTACCTTATTTTCTCTTTGTGCCGTCATGTTCTTTCAGCAGTCGTGCTCGTGCCCCGGATGACTTCATTCTTGTCTCAAAAGTTCCTTTGTCACTTTCAAGACTCCCTATACCAAAAGCGGCTTTCGAGAAGAAGACAATTTCAACGCTCTATTCGAAGAAACACCAAATAAACTCATGAAGAATACAACTGAATAACAACACAAATAACTTACACTCAATGCGTCGACTCTCAAGTCTATCGGCGCTGCTAGCAGCCCTAGCAATCCCGCTCTCTACCTTCGCCGAGCTCACTCGCCGCGAGCTCCAACCTCTCCCGCTCTCCGTCCGTGACCGTGACATCGTCGATGCCCGCAACGCAACGGTCGCCCTCGTCGGCGTGAACTGGGCAGGACACGAGCGGACCATGCTGCCCGAAGGACTGCAATACCAGTCCATCGCCCACATCGTCAAGCGCATCGCCGAAACCGGCTTCAATTCTGTTCGGCTAACGTTCGCCACCGAAATGGTGGATGACATTGTCGACCGGGGCGGCGATGTAGATCTCAAGACGACGCTCCAGAATGCGCTGGGCCCGGAGAATGGTACGGCTATCTTGAAGCAGATTCTCAAGAATAATCCATCTTTTAGCGAGAGTTCAAAGAGACTTGATGTGTGGGATGCTGTTGCGATGGAGCTGGGCAGACAGAAGATCTACGTGCATCTTGATAATCATGTTTCCAAGGCCGGCTGGTGTTGTACGCCGTATGATGGGAACGGGTGGTTCGGTGACACGAACTTCAATACATCTAACTGGGTTCGCGGGTTATCCTATATGGCAGAGCATGTAAGTTGCAACTTACTTCCCTAAAGCACCTGATTCCTTGATCGTCCATTGGCTAACCTTTACGCAGGGAAAAGCTTCAAATTGGACAACCTTCATCAGCATGGGTCTCCGCAACGAACTCCGCGACCCCTTTTCCGCATCCCCCCCTCATAGCCTGGAGAACACGACCTGGACGACGTGGAAGACCCGCATGGTGCAAGGCGCGAACGCAATTCACGCCGCCAACCCAGACGTTCTCATCTTCTTTGGCGGGCGCATCTTTGACTTTGACATTTCGGCACCCGTGCAAGGGGAGTTTGCTAGCGAGCCCGGGTTCAACTTCTCCATTGCCGAGTTCTCGTTCAAGAATAAGTTCGTATTTGAGCAGCATCAGTATGACCAAGGGCTTGTTGATGACTCATGCACGAGTTATCGGGATATCCTAACGGCGTTTGGGTCGGATGTTATGACTATTGGGAATAACGGGACGACGAACGGTACCATGACGAACGGGACGAGTAATCGAGCGCCGTTGGTTATGACGGAGTGGGGACATGATCAGACCGACGAAAGCGGCGCGTTCAAGGATAAGTTTCGGAGATGCCTGGTTGACTTTATGGTTGACCGGCAAATTAGCTGGATGGTATGGGTCATGGGTGGAAGTTACTACACGCGTGAAGGTGTGCAAGACAAGGATGAGCCTTGGGGTGAGTCTACTTTCTTCGTCGAGGAGATGTCGATGATTTCTAACGTCTCTGTGATAGCCATTCTTGACCACAACTGGGATGCTTACCGCGGGAAAGCTTCCATCCGACAACTCCAGCATGACATGGAGAGGACGTACGAGGCCTTCCATCAGTCTATGCCTGATGCTGGAAGAAGTCCAGGGAATCAGCCAAAGAGTGTCGCAACGTCCTTTTCGTACAGCGTGTCTTTGGCTACTTTGATAGGCATCGTCGTAGCAGGTATCTTGGCTTAGAAGAGATAGAGTGTCGGAGGGTAGAGGAGACGCTGTGTTCATTGTGCATACTCAGATCTGCAAGTCCTGTTGGATTCTACTGTTGTATCGCGCCACCACCCAGGAAACAGTCCACTCAGGAGCGTTGGGTACAAGACTTGCTCTCCAAGTCATTGCTATCCACCATATCTGCTGTATGGCCAGGCTCGTTGTGAAACTCAAACTATGAACAATGTCTAAACAACACGGAATCTATGCCTATGTATAACCTACTTCCTACCAGAAAACACCTGCTTCCCCTCAAACCAAGTCTCCAACGTCTTCGCCTGCAACGCCTTGCTCGGATCCCAATCAAGATCGAAAATAGTCAAATCGGCCTTCTTCCCAACCTCGAGTGAACCAACCCGATCCTCCAAGAAACAGCTCCTCGCCGCCCCCTCCGTCGCGCCCGCCAACACGTCACACAACGACAGCGCAAACTGCGGATTCACAACCGTCTCCAGCTCCGGCTCCCGCGCAGACCGCCGCGTTGTGGCAATGTACAAGTTATCAATCACATGATGCGGCGCCGTCGGCGCATCCGACCCAATCGCCACGTGCGCGCCCCCGTCAGCGAAATCGCTGTACGCAAACGCCCGCCCGCACCGGTGTTCCCCGATCAGCGTCGGCCAGGCCCGGAGGATCGCTGGGTCCGAGTGGACGGGCTGCACGGAGGCCGTGATGCCGAGTCTTCCTAGGCGCTTCGCGTCCTCGGCGGTTGTGACTTCGAGGTGCTCGATGCGCGGGCGGTGTTTCGGTCCGACGTGCGCCTCCAGCACGTCGATCGCGTCCGCGACGGTGCGGTCGCCGATGGCGTGGAGCGCGACCTGCAACCCATGTTTGGTGGCTGCTTGTACCACGGGTGCCATGTACCGCTGCGACCAGACGGGGTCGCAGTTGTCGCCGTTGTGGCTGTAGGGTTCCTTCAAACTCGCCGTGCAGCCGTCAATGATGCCGTCGCAGACGAGCTTGATGCCGACAAGGCGGCAGTCCGGGTCCGTCTCGAGGTTGAACTCGCGGGCCAGCTCCGCGGCGCGCTCGACCTGCTTAATGTTCTCGGCGTCGTCGTCCTTGGGGAGGATCATCCAGTAGGCCGCGAAGCGGATGGGGAACGGGCGGCCCGCTGCCTTTTCCTGCTTGCGGTACTCCTGCAGCGCCGTCCAGCCGTCTTCTTCCATGGCCATGTCGATGAGACCGGTGAAGCCCGCGGCCGTGTAGTCGTTGATGGCCGTCTCGATGGCGGCGATGCGATCCTGGAGAGTCGAGGTGCGGGCCATGTAGAGGGGGATGAACTTCATGCTCGCCGCCTCGGATAGCAGACCGCTAGGTTTACCCGTCTTCGGATCGCGAACAATCTCGCCCCCGGGCGGGTCGGGCTCGTTCTCGAGATCCAGGTCCTTGAGAGCAGCGGTGTTACACCACGTCGAGTGCAAGTCTTTTGCGGTGATGAGGATGGGTCGGGGGTCGAGGTCGTCGAGGAGGGAGGCGAGGGGCCCCTCGGGCGTCATGAAGTGCATCCATCCGCTACAGAAGATGCGTTCGGCTTCCGGGTGGGCGGCGGCGTGGTCTCTGATTGTGGTTCGGATGTCCTCGAGAGTCTTGCAGTGGGCGAGGCTCAGCTTGAGAAGCGCCTGGCCGAGTTGCGTCAAGTGGATGTGTCCGTCAACGAGGCCGGGGAGGAGAGTGTGGCCGCCTACATCGCGGACCTCTGCGCCAGCGTCGATTGCGGACTTCACCTCAGATGCGGAGGCGTCACCGACAAAAGTGATGATGCCATCTTTAATCACCAGCGCTTCTGCAAAGTTGGCTTCAGAACGCTGACCTGCAGGTGCTTTGTTTGACCTAAAGATCTTTCCGTTCTGGAAGACGACGTGTGTTGAAGCCGTCATGCTGAGTGGTTGTGAGAGTTGAGTTATTGTCCCTTGCAGTAAGGTAGGTAACACAACGCTAGAGAGACGGGAGGTTCTGTAGTCTGTACGGCGCTGTGTAACTTCGAGCAACTTTAGTATACCTAACCCCTCAGCCTAAGAGTTGTTCCAGCGAATAGCGCATGCAATACGTGGCCAACATCGCGAGGAGGGGTGAACTAGTTGCATCAACCTCGTGATAGCACTGATAGCTTAGATACGGGCTTGATGGCGGGGTGGCATGCGGGGTTGAATCGTCCTGATTTCCGACGTTGCTCGGCCGGGCCCTCGGCGTTGCAACTGTTCAGGTGGGGAGTTGATTTGTGCTGTCAAGAAACGATGCAGTTCCTCCGTGATCGGCCTATGGAGATACATACGTTGGGGCGAAGAGTTGTTGAAAAGATTTGAGAAATCTAGGACAGGCTTGACAGGCTACCCGAGGTTCCAGCGTATAGTAGGCGCATCAAGATGCCAAGTTGGCCGTGTTGCGGGCACAACTCGATACCATACCTCGCGTCACGAATGCCCCGGCTGGAAACCCTTTCAGGACTCTTACCCCTGTCTTAGACGTTACAGAAACACACTGCTTCCTGGAATCTGAAGATTCAACAGGAATATCATGCTGTTTGGCATGCCAGTGACGATCACTGTTCCACTTCGCTCCGAAATATGAGAAGCGTGTCGCTTGTTACCGCTCGCAATCAGCCACTCGCCAAAACATTCCCTACTCGTCAGGGCCTGGCGGCCAAGACAATACGCCGTCATAGACAACTGCAGGCAGCCACTTATAAGCAGTTGAAATAGACTCTCCTGGCTTACTTCAGTCGACCAAGTTTGGGCCTCAACCTTTCCATCTCAAATCGCTGTGGTGATCTGGAGCCAGCAAAACTTCGGCTCCAATCGCGAACGGATCTCGTTGCCCCGGTGATGCTCATTTCCACGGAAGAAACCCCAGTAGTGTGATGGCCCCGCCAGGATCTTGAAGGATTTGATTGATTCTATCTATAGAAAGAGGTAGGCGATGAACCTCATCCGACTAATCAGAGACTACCTATTTCACCTCGTAAATGATGGACTCCAAATGTCTGCCTAAGTATCAGATACTAGCACCCATTGAAGCCTTGACAAGGCCTTGCCAGACATGCTGCACCCTGTCTTTCTTCAGTAGAAAGCGCTGAAGAAAGCCAGGGGTTTGCAACGGTCTGAACTGTGTCATGTGACTAAGTCGTAAGTTGTCCCGCAAATGGACATGGTCGATCCCATTCAAAGTGCGCTATTGACGCTGTTTTTTTCGATCGCGTTGAAGAGCAGAGAGAGGGTCGGTGCAACTTCTCCGCCCAGGAATGCGAAGATGGAGAAGAACCAGAAACGAATATCGTAAGTCATCCGAGAGATTGGGAAGAAAAAAGAAAGTAATGATGTGAGACCACCATCAGCTAAACGAGTATGCAAGGTGCAAGCGGTGCCAACAGAGAAAGGTACTTTTGCTCTCCGTGTTTGTTCCCCCTTTTCCCTGACCCGAGTCCGCCCTCCCCCGGCCTACTTTCCCCCGACTCTCGGCCTTTTCCCGGGTACTTGGGATCCGTACACGGCACCGCCCCGGATCCGTGTCCGGTCGAGGAAACCTGTCCGACCAAGTCTCCTCACCCGCTATCCGACCTGTCCCCCGCGCTGACACCTGACTGATCCATAAAAATGCAAATAGATCCGCTGCTCCCGCACCTTTCCATGCACAAACTGTTCCACAGCATCCGCCAAATGCGAGTTCCGCGAGAGCGACTTCAAGCGGCCGCCCGTGTCCCGTGAGTATGTCGCGGCTCTCGAGTCACGCATCGCCTCGCTTGAGAGCTTGCTGGGCAACCTCAAGGCCGCCGACGGCGATGAGCGCAACCAAATCCTCGACGACCTCGAAGTCCAAGATTATGTGCCCTCCTTCTCCGGCCTGCCCTTGGCGGATGAAATTGCGCTGAGCGAGGCCATGACCAAGGCTTCGTTTCAGGAAATGACTGACGGTATTTCCTTGTCCCTTTCCTTTTCGTTCTCCTTAGTGCCGGGGTCTCCATCGCCTCTTGGCAACTATCAGTATTCTAATCTCCTCCAGGATCCATGATCTACCACGGGCCAACAAGCATCTTCCAAAACGAAGTCAGCACCTCCATGTACCCAACCAGCTCCTCCACCGCCTCGAAGCCCTCGGCCTTCCACGAGGACAAGGCCAACCTGACCAATCAGACCATGCGCCTCTGCATCGGCCTCTTTTTCTTCTGGCAGTACCCGCTCTTCATGTTCATCGACCGGGAAGCTTTCATCCAAGAATTCGAAGAGAACCCCGTCGACGGCAATTTTTGTTCGCCGCCCTTGATCTACGCATGTGCCGCTCTGGGTGCGCTCATGTCCAAGGATCCGGAAGTCCGGCCCAGGGCACAGGAGTTCGCGAACACGGCGCAGACCATCTTGACCACGGATGAAATGGGTATTTCGAGGCCGACCTCGGTGCAAGCGTGGTTGTGTCTTGCATACTATGAAACTGGTTTGAGTAACATGTCCAAGTCGTGGCTGTACACAGGTAAGAGTCCTTCATGAAGTACCAAATTGCTAGAACTGTGATCTGATGTAGATATCACCAGGCATGGCCTTCAGAATGGGTCAGGACCTTGGCTTGCAAAGAGACCCTACACACTGGGGCCCAGAAGAGAAGCCGAATGAGGCGAATCCATTCCCATTCAACAACGAGTTCCGACGCCGAATCTACTGGGGATCTTTCCTGACGGACAAGTGAGACATCTATATGATTCTCAAGATGCTCAGTCTAACGTCTCTCCTCTCGCAGGATGTTCAGCCTCTTCCTAGGTCGTCCAACATTTATGTACGAGAACGATGCCGACGTGAACATCAACGAACCTCTACCGTATGTTCCATTCCTAAACCCCACTTCAGAATCTACAAGTAATACACCTTGTTCACCTGCATTGACACAAGCCAACAGACACGACCCTCCAATCTGGGAGAACTGGCTCTTCTCACACGACCTCGGCTTCCTCAAGACCATGCGCCCAGCCGGCCCAAAGCTAACGCTCCTCTTCAACCAGCAGATTGAACTGGCCCGCATAGTTCACGACATGCTATCCCAAACTTTCGCGCCCAAGAAGATGAAGGACCCAGCCGCGAGGAGGTGGAACGAGGTCTCCCTCAACAAACTCAACGCTCGTCTCGTCGCGTGGCACGAGGCGCTGCCAACCAACATGCGATGGAAGAAGTGGTTCACCAACAAAGACATCCTGCAGCCCAACGTGTCAATTCTACAGTACGCCCTACGTCTTCTCCTGCGAGTGTGAAGGATGTCCCACTGAGCTCTGCTGATTATGTGCACCAGCATGTTCTACCACAGCACTCGCATCTGCCTCAACCTCCCCTTCCTAGCCTCCGTCCGGCACATTCCCTCCACCGCAGACCTAGCCGACAACGACGACGACGACCCCGAGACATCCTCAAACAACCCGATCATCAAGTCGCTCAGGATATGCCAGTCCTCCGCGCAAGGGATAGCCGACGTCCTACAGCGCTTTAAGAGCCAGCACACGCTCGGCAACGCGCCCCTGATCTTCGTTGGAGCCACCATCGTCGCGACGAACGCAGTGCTGGTGACGACGAGGCGCCAGAGGGGAGGCGGAGGCGTTCCGCAGCTGATGAAAGACACATTGTTGCCTGTGTTCGACAGCGCGCTGAAAGACATGTCTGCTTCGTATAAACTTGCGGAGGAGGCTAGGGCCAAGGTCCGGGTTGCGTTGAGTACGAAGGAGCAGCATAGGTATGATGCGGGAGGAGGACAGCAGTCTGAGGTCGTGCCAGTTGGGTTGGATGGTGAGGCTGCTCGTAGCGATGAGCCGGTGGCAGTTGTGGTTGATCCGGCGCTCTCGGGCTCGGTCCCTCCTCCAGTGACGACGGCGATCGGTTCGGGCTCGACGACGGAGACAGCAGAGATTCCCAGCTTCATGAGTCCTGAGCAACAAGGGTGGCAGCCTCTGAGCGTGCTAGATGGAGAAACGGCTTTCTGGGGGAACCTTGGCAACGACATATTTGCAGGCTCAGAGTTGGAGTATCTCGACGGTGTGACGGAATTCGATTGGACTGACCGGCCGCCAATACCTTGAGCGCTTCAATCACACATCTTGAGGGACAGTCTCTACCACTTGAACTCAACAGCATAGTCATCTTACTTTTACGTTTTATTTCCATCTTCTACGGCGACTCTAGCCCTCCCTGATGCCTGTATTACCACTTATACTGGCAATTCGTGCAATTCTCCCCGCCGCACCCGTGACGGAACTCCTCAATTACACTGACGGGCTTGACGTACTGCAGCGTCGGGACGTAGTCGTGTTCCAGCCCAAAGACTTTAGGCCCCGCGATCTCGAGCGCCCGTTCCGTGGCCCAGAGCGGATGTCCGGCCATGATCATCACGGCGACCTTGAGACCGTACCGGTACTCTTGGACGCCGATGGCTTCTCCGGTCGACGTGTCCAGGAGGAAGATGAGGTCGGGTACAGTAGCGAGGACCTAGACATGCCAATGTCAGTATGGGAATTCCCAAGACTTGATGAGTAAAGAGAAGCAGGGGGGAGATTGACTTACCGTTTCGATGCCACTCTCGCCCTTACCCAAAACCCCCAAGTTCTCATTCATGAACGGCACAACAACCTCCTTCAACCCCTCCCCAATACGATCCGTCTCGGTTTCCATCTCGCTCTCACTAAGCCTCTCAACAGTGACCTTGCCCAGACTATGCGCCGTCGCAGTCAACGTGCTTTCCACGCTCCGGATCTTACCCTGGAACAACACCCGCGCGCTTCCCGGCCCTCCCGCGGCCTCGATGATGTCCTTCGTGACAGTCGACACCGTACCAGCCTGCTGCGCCAACGCCACCACACGACCCAGGCGCCACGCGAGCGAGTACGTGTTGGGAATACCCACCTCGCGCATCAGCTTACCCGGGATCGGACGTCCCGCGGCGCCCGCGGCGGAGCCCATGGCCACGCAGGCGTCGCGGATGGCGATGCCGGCCGAGGTCTCGTCCGTCTGGGTAGCTGGGATGACGACATTGTGGCCGGTGCCGCTGCAAAGGGTTACGGGAAGGAGCTCGTTGACGGATTTGGCGTGGATGTACTGCGAGACCATTTCGAACTGGGGGTATGCGCGTCCCATCATGTCACCGTCGACGGTCGGGATGTCGTAGTAGCGCGAGCTTCCCCAGATGAGTGTGGCGACTCCGTTGGCGCCGCCAATTTCCGTGGCGATGAGCCTCTCGAACTTGGTCTTCATCTCTTTCTCCATCTCTTGCATCGCGTGCCATACTCCGTCACCACCCGGCCGCTCGATACTTACGGCAGGCGTGCCAACGCTAGCGACCGGCGGCATCATCTCGTCGTCCTTGAGGTCCTCGATCCGAATAATCTTCATCGATTCGCCCTCGGCCAACAACTGCTTCAGCTGCAAGTATGGGGCGTAGGGAGAACCACCACCGCCACAGCCTAGGATGTAACACCCGATGGACAAGAACCTGAGATCAGTCTCGGAGAGCGTCCACAAGCCGTTGGATTCGACCTTGGGCTTGTAGCTCTTAAGGTCAACGACCTCGTCTTCCGGGTGATCCTCCGCGTCCTCGGCTTCGTGCTTTTTGGTCTCCTCAAACATCTCCTCGTCGACCAGCTGGTCAGGCGCGGCCGTCTTCACCATCTCCGAGTACACGCGCTTATGGTCTGCCGGCAGCGCAACTTCAATCTTGATGGACGTCTGGTTCTCGACGTAAGGAACACCCGCAATCTCCTCGTGAAGGACAGTCACGGAGCTCTCATCACCGCCCTTGGCGACTGCGTTCTGGATAGCCCGGGCTTTGACTTCTGTGATGCCCCCTTGGATGTCTGAGCCGTGGATAATCGTCTCAGCGGAGCCGTAAATCTTGGCAATAGATGCGCCGATCGCATTCGCGACACCGGCGTGTTCAGGGACTACGACCTTGCTGACGCCTGTGAGCTCCGAAGGGCAGAGAATCGAGCCACCGCCGACGAGGATGACTGTGCATGGTTCGGGAGACAACTTCGCGCGATCAATGACGGCCTCGAGCATCTTGCGGATACGCGCCTTGCCCTTTTCGACAACGTCGCTCGCCAGAGACACAGCCGTGGTGCCAATCTTAGCACCTGACGCGACTGCGACATCCGTAGCGGTTGTGGTATCGCCTCCGAAGGACAGGGCCTTGGTAATAAGGTCGTGGCCTACGCTATCAGGCCCAACAGCTACGGAGCCGTCGTCCGCGCTATGGAGAATAGAGCCTCCTCCCAGACCGATGCTCTCGACGGAAGGCATCTCCAGATTCACCTTGACGCCGGCCAGTGCCGTATAGCTCTTGGACAATCTAGGGTATCCGTTGCTCAGCAGGTATCCGACGTCGGACGTGGTGCCGCCAATGTCCACGACGATGCTCCCTGACTTGTCTATCGAATCCCTGGCGAGGAACGCAGCGCCTCGAATGGAATTTGTTGCACCCGAGGAGAAGATCCTGATGGGGGCCTGCATGGCTTCTGAGAAGGGCAGAAGGTGGCCGGCATTGGAGGTCAAGTACAGCGGGCACTGGAGACCGATGCGTCGCATGGCGCCGATGAAGGCTCTGATGGTGCGCTGCGCAAAGTTTAGAATCGAGGCGTTGAGAATCGTCGCATTCTCGCGGGCGAGGAGTCCCGGTCCGGCGATGTTGTGCGAGAGGACGATATTGACATTTTCGCCCAGCTCGCTAAGCAGGATCTTGCGGACCTCATCCTCCTGGTGGTAGTCCTTGTCGGTACTGCATCCGATGCCGATGACTGCAACGTTCTTGAGCCCCTTGGACTTGATCTGCCTCGCCTGCTCGCGAATAGACTCCTCGTCGATGGGCCCGATGAGAGTGCCGTCAATGTTGCAGCCGCCGGGGATGATGGCCGAGTGACCGTTGATGATGCGCTTCAATGCCGAGGGCCAGTCCGCAAAAGGTGGAGTGCCTGTTGAAAAGTTGTGAGATGCCAAGCGGAGGACAGCAATCTTTTCCACCCGAGATGTGTCTCTTTCAATGATGGCATTGAGGAAGTGCGTCGTGCCGATGGCGAGCGCAGTGATGTTGGCGGGGTCTGCGGTTGACTTGTCCAGCAGAGCTTTCAAGGTGGCCTGGACGGAGTGAGTTACGTTTGACGTTGTTGGGGCTTTGTGAGATGCGACAACAGCATCCGTGCTGGACTTTGAGACATCCAAGAGCACGCTGTCAGTGTTGGTACCTGTGAAGATGATTAGTCGCAAAAAGTGAATGATTGTGCATTGCTCTGTAGGTTTAAGCCGGGATTCTTCGAAAAGTCTCTTACCTCCAACGTCGACTCCCACCACCAACGTGCCGTCTGATGCACTCATCTTGCTTGACCAGCGTTGTTGACTGCGGGGTTTGAGGGGAATAGTGGAAGTAGCTCGCGCAACCAGCAGCACCGACCTCACTCTACTTCCGAAGAGCGCGAAACTTGATCTCAGCAAAGCGATCTTGGGCCAGCAGGGCTGTTCGTCAGTCCTTGGTAGTACGTCAGGTAGGTAAGATAGTGATCGTGGGGTGATGAACTCGGAGTCCTTTTCGCTGTGGAATGATGTAAAGAATCAGCCGCGCGTGTGCCGTGTAGTGGGGGATCAAGTATGAACCGAGTCAACATCCGTTCTTCGGCGGCTTTCTTCAACTCATTTGTCGCACAGTCGCACCAATGCTGGAGCGACCTTCTCTCGCTTATGCAAGTGTAACCACTTTTGCAGGTGCATTCATATGGGGAAGGTCAGTCGGGATGTGGACGATCGGAGCCTCGGATTTATCAGATTGATCTTATCTGCACAGGCGTGACGGGGTACGTATTCGTAGGGCTATCTTGGCTATCAATCACCAGTCCAATCACACAAACTCATGGCTACCCACATCGTGACGTACCATCAAGATGGATGCCCTCATGAGGGTTCATGTTGGTTACATAATCTCAATTGCAAGGCTCTTTACAGGCAAATAATGAGCGTTGAATTGTCAGAATCTCAATTTCTACGACCATCTCATCGGAAGTCACTCTCGTACTCTCATTGCGGATCTCCACCAAGAGCCACCTCACTCTGAGTTTAAAATCGATGATCTCAAGAATCGTTACAGGAAATCATTTTTCCCATCCGTTTCAGCATCTTGAAAACTCTACAAATTTTCCTATTTTCAAAGTAAAATATCATGAATCCCGATTTGCTTGACCAAAGGTTCCCAAGCAGATGTATCCATAAAGACTGCGCGATTGTTACCATCCCCAACAAGACTAACAATTGCGAACTTGGATCATCATGATATGCTAGAGTGTCATCATCAGAAGCATACTAACGAACATAGAGGGCGTGCCAACGGTATTTCAATGCACTCCAGACTTTATTTGGTCCACGCTTGGATACCTCTCTTGCCCAAAAGTGAAAGGAAGCAGAAATTCTAGATCCAAAGCTTTTCTGCTGTCACCAATGCCTGATTTCGACGAACATTTCAGCACCACGGCTCCCAAATCCGGTAACGCTATTCCTTGATGACCTCTCCATCGCCAACTCGAACCTTAGCAGGAGCGTCCATATCCATCAAGAGTACAGCAGTCTGCATGGCAAGGTCCTCCGTGCATGACGTTCAGGCAGTAAAAAGCATCGCCGTTCTACACAGCTAGCATTAGTAATGAGACACAACGAAGTACGCAAGGGAAGTATAGAGCTTACGTGCTTATCGCGAGCCACGTTGTCCTTGAAACAACAGTCATCTTTGCTGCAGAAGGCACTCTGAATCAAAAGTCAGCGTTTCGGAAATACGTCTATTGGGCCACTGCGGTCCATCTTACCGCAGAGCCAAGCAGCGTGGCTGTGAGAAAGAGAACAACGGCCTTGATCTGCATTTTCGAGGGAAGACGGTGTGGGTGATTTGCTAAATTGGTAGACGTCTGCAGTTGCTTGTTGAGTTGGTCTCTGGGACGTTTTCGGTACGGGCCTTCTGCTTTTATACTAGAAAACGGCATTCACAGCTTCAACTTGAGATAGCCGGCCTCTCAATAGCCGCCCCTTGCAAAGGCACCGGCTTTAGAAGGCGCTGGTCATGAATATCCATCCCTAGTGTCCTCTGCTTTCTACGTTAGTCAATACTAATAGTGCGAAAGTAAACTTTTTACTCTCGTCTAAAACTCTCCTTTTGTTGAACGGGCCCTACGATGGTCCAATTCACACCGCTTAGTTCAGTCGTGGCGGCCCTGCTGATGATGCCTTGTGTAACATATGGGTAGTCTCGAGTCTTGACTAAACGATGAGCAAGTCTCACTTATGCAAGCAATTCGTGTGTGCGTTGTTACACCTCACATGGCAGTTGTTCAACATCACTGGATCCTCTTCAACTCCACTGTTCCGTCAGACAAATGATTTGGGGTTTGCGCCTCGTTGTACTCAATTGTATGCGAATGAACACCGCATTCTTATGTTTGCTAGAATGCGAGAGACATCAGTTATTCGTGAAATGGCAACCATCCAGGGAATCAAGACGCTGCTTATTATGCTACCAAATTACAGCTATGCGGAGACATTTGCATTACCTATGGATGCACCTCAGGCGACATCCTCCAGCAGATGGGTCCGCTGCCACAGTGTTGACAGAGCCTAAAGTGAACCAGGATTCAGGGGCCATTCTGGAGTAGTGACAGGGCCGTCGACACGCTATGACACCCAAGGATGAAGGACAGCACTTTGATGGATATTGCAGATACAAAGAGAATCTCAAGAAAAAGGATTTAAACCGAAGGAGAAGAGTCCTGACGCCACGGTATGTGTAAACCATTCAGGACCATAGAGACGACTGCCTATTCAGGATTTGATACTCCGTACTCATGCAATTGATCCTGCATCCTTATGTGGAGTTCCTTAAACATGCCCTATATCAGAGGACAGAACCCGCCGACAGCTTGTACCTTGTCCTGTGCATACTGGAGAGGCCTTTCTCGTCAACCTCAACGTCAGACACCGAGGAGGAGCAACCTGCAACACGTGAATCAATCAACCATGTCTATCATTAGTGAAAGCAATTTGGGAGTCGACTATGTCACAGTAAACTCGACCTTCGGCTCCGTCAAAGGGTTCATCAACAGAGACTACCCAAACGTCGCCCAATTCCTAGGCATTCCCTTCGCCGAACCGCCGATAGGGCCGCGCCGATGGTTACCTCCAACGCCGAAGGCTCCGGTCGACAGCATCGATGCCACAAAGTTTGGATTATCTTGCCCTCAACAGCTTGGAGGCAGGCCGTCGGTCTATAATACGGATGTGACTGAACACCAGATCCGAGACGACACTTCCGAGGACTGTCTTTCTCTCTGCATTTGGGCACCCAAAGATGCGGCCAAGGAGGGGTTCACGAAGAAGTTCCCTGTGATAGTGTTCATCACCGGCGGCGCATTCCTCGTCGGCGGCTCTACGATTCCTTATCAGAATCCAACGCCCTGGATCGAGAGCAGCAAGCGCCACATTGTTGTCAGCATCAAGTTAGTATACCGAACCTCTCGGACCATCCCAATCCCAACTCGGGATCTATGCGCTTACACGAATCCAGTTATCGACTGAACGTCTTCGGCTTCCCCAACGCCGCGGGACTCAGCCCTGATGAACGAAATCTAGGGTTTTTAGACCAGCGGCTCGGGCTGGAATGGATACATCAACACATCGCCTCCTTCGGCGGTGATCCATCGCGAATGACGCATTTCGGACAATCAGCAGGCGCCCACAGCATCGACTGCCACGCGTTCCTGCATCCGGACAAACCCCTGGTGCGAAATCTCATTCTCCATTCTGGGTGTGCACTCCCTCCGCTTCCAGTGAGCGACCCGGGATGTACGCACTTCAGTGCTCTCGCCAAGGCACTCGGTTTCCCGGGCGGCGATGCTAGGGCGGAGTTGGAGTTTATGAGACAACAGCCTCCGCAAGAGCTCCTCGAGGCTATCCAGCATCACTGGGCTACTGAAGAGAAGCCTTTTCTGAGCTTCCGGCCCGTGGTAGACGGCTTTACACTATTTGATGATTATGAAGACAGGGCCAAGGCAGGAAACTTCAGTAAATTGGTAAGCGGAGTTCGTTCTCTGATTGCGAGTTGATCATCACTAACCAGCTTCAACAAGCCTGCCATTTGTGGAACCATGAACGATGAGGGAAATTCAGTAGCTGTATATCATCCCGACAGGGCTGATTCGTTTTGGGCGGAAAAGATCACAAAAGACTACTTCTTGGGACCTATGGTTGCCATGGCGCGGTACGAAATGCTCTCCTCATACATCCTAACAATCTCAGACTCTCAGTACAGCTGCTAACGATGTGCCGGGTAACAGAGCACGCTCAGCTCATGCGCCCACCTTCCGCTTCTTGCTCAAAGACTATGCACCTGCTGGTACCAGCTCATTTCATAACATCAGTCCCCGACCATGGCTGCGAGCCTATCACAGCTCGGACATGCCTTTGATCTTCGGAACGCACGATTGGGCTCGTGGCCCCTCTACGCCGTTGGAAGAGAAGGTCTCACGTGTATGGCAGGATTTGTATGTAGCTTTCGCAGAAGATGGGCCGGATGGGTTGCGGAAGATGGGGTGGAATGATATGAGGGAAGGTGTGGGAATCGTGCTAGGTGGTGGTGAGAAGGGTTGGGAGACTGTCAGCCTGGAAGAGGTTGACAACAGGTGAGTATTGAAGAGATGGCTTCATGGAAGTACCTAGTGACAGCATGGAGAAACTTTGAGACAAAGACGATAGCCCGCCAGAAGCGTATTATGTCTTGAGATCATTGTTCGGGGTTTGTATATCAATTGCATGGCATTTGAACGGCCTTCCAAGGTGAGACTTGACTCTACATGAGGCGTTTACTTTTCCAAGTACACGTTGTTGCATACATCTCCGAATACGCCCATGGTTCTCTGCCACCCTCCAACGACATCATCGACTCTCTTCGCCATATCCCTTCCCAAAGGCAACATCCTCTCACCCTCCTTGCCCTCACCTACTCCTGTGCCGGTAATGACTTCATATATCACCTTAGCTGCCTTCACATGATCCCCATCGGCAGGAAAGCCTTCTGTTGCCGATGCAGCCATGACCTTGAAGACTGCATCTAGAGCACTGCCGTCGTAGTCCGAAGGCGTAGGCTTGCTCGCTAACCTAACCGTCGGCCCCATATTCGTGTCGAACGAACCGAGCGCAACCGTCAAGACGCGGACACCGAACGGAGCCATTTCTTTTGCAAGGACTTTGCTAACACCTATTGGAAATACCATCAGCCGTTAACTCGCGAGAGGGTTAAAGGCCATTGCACTCACCATCCATCGCGGCTTTCGCAGCCGCATAAACGCCCATCGACTCTCTCCCCTCCAACCCAGCCCCAGAGCTGATATTGACGATGACACCGCTGCCTCTCTCTCGCATAAGGGGGGCGACCGCCCTCATCAACCGGTAGGGCCCGAAGAATACGGTATCCATCTGCGCCCTCGTCTCTTCTTCCGTGAAACCTTCTGCCGGGCCATGGATGGACCATCCAGCATTATTGACTAGCACATCGATCAAAGTCCCAGCTTTCTCGAGGTCCGTGATGAGGTCTCCCGAGTTCAGGTCGTCAACGTCGAGCGGAAGCCAGCGGCCCCCTCCATCCTGGACTTCACGCACTAGGTCCGGCGTCTTTTGAGGGTTGCGCGAGGTGGCGATCACCGTGTGCCCTTGTTTCTGCGCCAGTCTTGTGAGAGCTAGTCCAAACCCGGATGAGCAGCCGGTGATGAACCATGTTAGAGGTCTGTCTGGGACAACAAGCGGATGAGACATGGTGATGAAATTGCAACTTCTGTATAGCTTTAGTTCAACTCTTCTAATAGCCATCTCATTTGCCTCTTAAATCGAACGAGTTTTTATCCTTTTTTTTTTTTCAAGAGCTTGTACGCCCGGACTTTGAGGTTGAAGCCGAAGGGACTTAGATGTGAGCGGCCCCGCATCGGCCAGTGTCTTACGGAGAATCGGCCCTCGCGGACTTAAGCCAGATCCGGACTACATCCGGGTCATATATCACAGCGTACCGGCAACTGCATTTGATTCCCAACATGTGATCTTTACTATTAGCACTAAATACTTGCAGAGGCTAATCACCGATTTGATAAATCCGAGTCGGTGAGGTTTGACCTAGCATTTCTCAGAGCCAAGTTTGCTGCAGGTTGGTGCGTGAGATGGTGCAAAGCGCAGCATGACAGATCAATTCGTAGACTCAACCCGAGCATCGGCATTAGCACGTATAGAGTGATCGCTATAGCAGGACTCTGAATTTACCTTGGTGCTTTAAGAACCTATAGCGTGTGGGAGTTTATCGTAGCCCCTCTCACATGGCATGGTCATCTCAAGCTCGACCTTCTTTGGGTCAATGGCTGACTTCTCCTTGTTGTCAACGTATGAAATATTGCCAAGCAAAAGTTGCTACAGTTTTGGTCGAATCACAAGATCAACATAACGCGAGAAACTTCACGAGCTTGCGGAGGGGCTTTTGCACTTGGGGCCAGTTCTTGAGGTATCACCATCTTCATACCTGAAGCGAATAGAAGTACCATCGAAATTCACATGGAATAAACATTGATCTTAAGTGAAATTTAACCCAGCTTTGCGCCTGAATCATGTTGGATTGGCTGCTCTTCCCAGCCCCTCGCCGAACAAGCCTCATTTCTCGCCGGATAACCGAGTGCAGTTTCATGAAGACTGGGGACATGGCAACAGCTGAAAGCACTTCAGTGCAAAATGATTCAATAGCATGAGCTCAAAACAGTATTCCTAGTCGCACTGTGTTCATCAATGAGTAAAAAGATTGATTTGAAATCTGGGTACAAACAACTAATTACTTGTGTGACCGTGTGACGTGTCTGCCAGATTGGAATGGCCAAGATGGACTATTTATAAACGTGAGCTGGAACGAGAATTCTGATATCACCGATCGCTGCTCCTTCCTTCGCTGCCTCGCATTAAGTAGTTTGTGGGATCAAGGTTACACGAAAACGACTACACAAACTTGTCGGCAGTTGGCAGCTTGGCATTTGTGGCGATGATGATCTATAAGCGGCGTAGTTGGAGGAGCTCCGCAAACACCAGAAGTGAACCTCGTCCCCAATACCAGATTAACCTGACATCCGGCAAGAACTCCGTGAGATCGTAAGATTGACGCTGCAGGCCACTCTGAGCAGTGGGCCAATCCATCACGAATGTTTCTTCAGCGGTCACGATACATGCACGGGGATGAAGGACGCCGGAGCCACCTCCGAGATCAACTCCGGTGGGTTGGATTCTTGGAAAGACTCGGACTCGGACATTGGAAGCAGACTCCTGGGTTCGCTGGGTATGTGGTTGCGGGCAGCGGCACAGCAATATTGCAATCATTGCAAGGGGTGAAGTCAGTTTTTGGCCGCAAACGCGGATACCTTTCCTGAAAAGGAAAGTTTGCGTACCGAGCGACTGGTTTGATTGTTGATCGTCACCCTTGCCAAGCTTTTGAACTCTATTGTTCGTTTTTTCTAGCGCGATGTCACCTAAGTCTCGAGTGCTGTATTGGCAAGACAACAATGATCAATCCGATGCCCTCGGATATTGTGGCGTCTGTCGGTACCAACGGCTGCCAGTTGAGGCTTGCAAACTATTGTTCAGAAATGTTTCCTCAAACAAAATGTGGCTAGTAAATATGCAGTCAGTCATGTGTTGCTGGAACTCGGAAGACATGGGCGAAGTTGCCGGCGTGTCAAATGCAATAGACCATGTTGTCGCAGAGAATACCGACATGCCAGTATAGCTGTCAAACCCCAATGCCTCCCCCCACCAGTGTCGCAGCAAGATAGAAGAGGAAGCCATCTCCGTTCGTCTGAACTCTGTGCAAATCCCGGTTCGGGAGCGAACTCTGCCGTTCTAAATAGGAAGGACGAGAGAAAAAAGAGAGAGGAAAGAACTCCAGGGATTGCCAGCCATGAACTTGTGAGAGTTTGTTCGGACCAACAACGCAGGAAAACTTTCCTACTACATGATCAAGGTATGCATGTTTGCGAAAATCAGATTGCATGCTGCAGCCAAGATTGTTTGCTAAAACCACATGGCCATTCTACGCCGCTCTCTGGCAGACCAGACATGCAGCAGGGCTAGTGGTGTACTTCAGTCAACACCGAGCACCGAACCGGGTTTTCGGGCCCTTGGATCTGCGCGTTGCTCCGACGCCTGTCTCTGCTCCCTCCACTGACAGGATTCAACAGGCAAGACTGAATGTTAGACAAACAGGAGCAAAAATGGAATCAGGAGAAAGAAAAAACAGGGCCATTCGTTAATGTCTGACACGCCATCAGCCTACCACTCAAGTCTGACAAAACCACAGTAAGCAACGCAGGCACACAGGCAGGGACAAAAGAACCGTGGAGCGGGATCCACGTGTAAGCCTGAACTGGGCAGAAAATTGGGGACAGTGGCCAAGGTCAGCCCGTGCTCGCATGAACCAGTCGCCTCTCGCACAACATCGATCTTCCCGCGAAACTCGAGGGGGCTGTGGACTTGGACATTGGCGAATCACGTTGGCTGACTCTGCTTTTCGAAGTCAGACTAGAGCCCTAAGAGCCGGCAGGTTGCCTGCAGGACAGATGCGAAAAGCGCATGACACTTGGTTGTTGGCTCTTATTTGGAGGAGAGGGTTCCGGACCGTGTCCGAGACCATACAAATGCCTGAATTGAGACATTTGATCTTAGCACAATCTCGTCATCCACAGTGACAATTTTCCGATGTGTTCTAAAATCTAAACAAGATGAAATGATTCCCGCATTCCAACTCAATCGCCGGAAACTAATGGCTCATCATGGGCACCAATCTCGCGGCCCCCAATATCACCACACGGAAACCAGGTTACCCGCCGCGTGGCTTTGCTCTAGGGTCGAGGGGGCTCTTTCAAGGCATAGGCAAGCGGCAAGCAAGCCGCAAAACACCTCATCCCCCCGTACTCTCCCATTACTCACAGACGGCCGGCCACCGGAATCCCGGTCCCGGCATGATTGCGACAGGGAACATGGCATCAGAAGTGCCCCATCGTAGTGTCCGCCGTCTCATACGAGGGGGTAGGCCGCAGCTGAAAGCCTGGCACAAAAAAAAACCACAGGAACCGAAGAACATCCGCAAGGTGAAGGCTACGTAGTAGAGCAGAGTCAGAAACTCCACAACGCCCGGCGGCGCTCCGGGGAGAGACGGTTAACGGGCTGCTGAATTGCCGTCAATGGTTCGGCGGTGCATGCGACGGTGCCGCGGTGGTGTCCGATGGCTTCCGCTAGAACAAGACTAGAAGATGGGAACATGAGTAGCTAGTGTTGTGCCTCTTTCGTCTCTTCATCTCGCAACCGCCACTTGACCCGAGGTTAGCTCTCTCCTAGTCTGCTCTTATTCTTTGTTTTTCTGCCCTCGGCGGTTCAACGCCTTTCGTCAGTGCCCAACGCGCGTTGCCGTTAAGATCAGTACGCAGAATATCTGCAGAATGCTGAAGTCCGTCACACAACTTGCGGATAGATGACGAAGACAACAACGCACGGTGGAAAAGCAAAACTTGGCCGCTCTTTTTACTTTCAGGCTTTTTGCCTCCACTCGTTCTCCACAGAGTTCAAACCCTTTCAAACAAAGCCCCGATCCTTCATGGTGCATCCGGCGAGATACGATGAACCCCGGACGACAGGTCAGAAACATTTAATCTATCACCGAGGAACCCTTACGAACCCCCCAAAGCTGGGGCAGAAAGGAGACAAAAGTATTGGGTTCTCAGGCCACATCTGCTCTGCTGGGTAAGGTAGCATCGGAAACCCTTTTAATAGACCCCCTTGGTCTTCCAGAGAAAGGTCGAGATCCGCCTATGGATGAATTGACCTTCCCCTGGAGTCCTGGGCCAGTCCGCGAATAATCCGACAAAATCCGGTCATTAAGCCGAGTACAGGGCAGAGAGCCGAAGGATTCGGCCGGTTGCCAATATATGAGCAATGGAGATTGCCCACGATCCGCTGCTGCAGCCTGCATGTGAAGCGACATCAAGCGAGTTGTAACACCCGAGCTGAGCCAACCCACGCGGACAAACCATACACATACGGATGCAGACTCAAGTGAACAGGTGGTAGAGTCCATATTTTGCCTCTTCTCGAGTCATAATATCGGCAATCAGACCAAATACTCGCATCGCACATCGACCACATCTCAGTTTTCTCTTCCCCGTCCCAACTTTGATCGAACATTGGCCACCAATGGCGCGTCGTGCCGGCTCAGACCCTCTAACCGTCCCCATTTTCAACTAATTACTCCACACACACAGCGTGCCGGATGTGCCACCAGGATAGGGATAGCACCGGCCAACTGCGACGCCATCTCTGCCCGGCCTAACGTCCCAAGGGGTAAAGAAAAGGGACACACGCCCCCCTTCGTCTGTGTGTGTGTGTGTGTCTGTGTGTGATGAGCCTGTTACGTGCCTTGCGTGTCCGTCTTGGGGGCACGGGGGGCGGTCTTCCAGAAAGAAAAGAGGTTCCTTCGATGCGGTTACTGAACCTGCCACACCGAAACTCTGGCTCTTCTTCGGGCATTTCCTCCTGGTTATTTCGGCATCTTGATGTGCCTCTGTGTGTGTGTCAAAGCTGGTTGCACCAGCACACCACAACTTACAAGTTGCTATTACCGTTCCTCGGGAACAATCAGCTTCGCCTCAGCTTTGCATTGCCGCGCCAGCCTCGGCCAGCCCCCGATTGTCGCACAAGCTTTTGCTGTGCCGTCGGCGATTGCCCACCGAGAAGAAAAAAAAAATGTTCGAATTCTTTCCATTGTTTGTTCATTTGGATCGAGCTGCGCTACCGTGGTTCCGCAGTGGCATCGCGAGGAGGTATCCAGGCATGGCATCTCAATCCCGGTGGGATGCTGGCCCCTGCCACCGCATCTGTGATCTGGGCTCTCCTCTGCACAAAGCACGAGAGCAGGCCCCTCTTCCAGGGCAAGAGGTTCGAGGAGATTTTTCTCTCGCTGGGCCCCCCGGGTGTTGATCCTTGCGCTCACGATGCTCCCCGACCCTTGCTCGCCTTGGTTCGGCGACTGTGTCTGGGCCCCCCTTCCTGGGGTTTCTTTTCCCTCCCTGAAGATATGCATGTACGGATATGGGTGGATTTGTGTGGCACAGATGACGGGCCTCCATCCGCATACTCATCCAAGTCTCTCCATGGGTTGTGCCCCTCGATCACTATTCACTGCAAGTCTGCAAGTCCGGTCCCCTACCCGACATGTGCGGCGCTCCAGACCAGTCGTGGCCTCGGTCCGCTGCCATGCCACGTTGACGGGGAGCCTCCTGCATGTCAGTGTATCACATTTCTCGCTTTCTCTCTCTGCGCAGGCCAGCCCTCGCCTGCCATATACAGCTGCCATCCTGGATGAACCCTGGGCATTATCCCATAGCCGGAGCTGGGCACCAGGGTCCTACGCAGTATGTTTGTCCAGTCCGGTATTCCAGCCCATGGCCGAGTTCCCTCCAAACGTCGCCCTCGGTTAGATGTACCAGAGCCCACGCCATCGTCCGGTCTCCGCCGCCGCCACCACTGAGACTTGCATAGTGCGTAGAAACGATGGGGAAAGGGGCGCGCCGTTTGCTAAAACAGTTCAACAGCCGTGATGCCACCTTGAAGTGTAACGGCGACCACCGTGTGTCGAAACTAGACCGCACGCTACCGGCACACTGGTCTTGTGTGGCGTTGACCCCAAGTGGAACCGCCGCACCGCAGAAGAAGCTCCCTTTGCTGCATCGAGCATCATCTCCGCGTTGGCATGTCGCTACGTAGGAACCACGCAACCCATCCCGAGGAGCTCCCCCAAAGTGGCCTCTTCTGTCTTCTGCTTGTTGACTAAGACGGAGGGTGTAGAAGGCGTTTCACGACAACCTTAATCCCTCCCGTCCGCCCATCTTCCCACCCCTTTCACCTCGTGTTGGGAAAACCTTTGACGCCTCCGTCACGACCTACGACTATTCGAATATGATGCTCACGTCATGTTCGAGGTGATACATATCTAGCTTGTACGACGATCCTGTTTTCTTCTCCCGGCCGTTTTCGAAAGAGGGGGGGTTCTTCCTCATCTCTCACTTGGACATACCCAAATATGAGGTTCATCTCTCTGTTCCTGTCCATGGCTGCGGTGCTCCATTGCGCCGCGGCCCAAGGCGATCCTGCTTCAGCTGTAGCATCGCTACCAAGATGCGCAGTAGGTTACAAATTGAAGACCATGAACTTGCTCGTGCTCTAGATACTAACTACACGACAGCAAGCATGTCTTGTAACAGCGGTCCTCAACTCGCCATGCGCGCCGACCAACCAGACATGTATCTGCACCAATGCTCCTTTGCAGGTCGAAGTTGAAGCTTGTGTTCTACAGAACTGTACTCTTAGGAATGCTCTTAGTGAGTGGCCATGTCTTCCTTCGGATGCCAATGGGTGAATCCTCCCAAAGACCTGTCATCTAACCCGTCACTCTCCCGCAGCAACCAAGAACATCACCCAGACGACATGTGGCGCGACACCGAGAAACCGCACGCCGATGTACAACACCATCTCTATCACCATGGGCTGCCTGTCTGGCGTATTCGTCATTATCCGCCTGGTACACAAAGTTTTTGCGACAATGGGCGACCTCGGCATGGACGACTGGTTCATTCTCATCACACTCGGCTCCGGCATCCCAGGAACTGTCATCAACACCCACGGGTTCGCCGCGAACGGCCTCGGCAAGGACATTTGGACAGTCTCATTCACTCAGATCAACGATTTTGGGTACTGGTTTTTTATCATGGAGCCAATGTATTTCGGCCAGGTGACGCTGCTCAAGATGTCACTTCTCTTCTTCTACATGCGCATCTTTTCGCAGAGTAGTATCAAGAAGCTCATATGGGGCACCATCTGTTTCAACGCAGTATTCGGCCTCACCTTCATCTTTGTCGCCATTTTTCAATGCCAACCGATCAGCTTTTACTGGACAAAGTGGGACGGAAACCGCAACGGACAATGCTTGGACATCAACGCCATCGCCTGGGCCAATGCTGGCATCAGTATCGTGTTGGACATCTGGATGCTCGCTCTGCCTCTATCTCAGATCAAGGGTCTGAACTTGCATTGGAAGAAGAAGATTGGCGTGGCCATGATGTTCTTCGTCGGCACCTTGTAAGTCTCCAAAATGCGTCGATTTCCCTCTCAGAACGTTCTCTAACATGGGGGTTCCCAGTGTCACTGTCGTTAGCATCTTGCGCCTGCAGTCTTTGGTCGCATTCGCGAAGTCCCAGAACCCAACCTGGGATCAATTCGAAGTCGCAACCTGGTCCACCGTCGAGATCAACGTGGGCATCATCTGCGCCTGCATGCCCTCAATACGCGTCATCCTCGTCGGCTTCTTCCCCAAATTGCTGGGCACGACACGGCGCGGCACATCCGCAGCAGCCAAGTACTACATTCAATCGAGTGGCAACGGTCGCAGCAGGAACAGGACACTGGGCAACGATGCCAAGGTCAGGACCGTCGATCGCGACTCGGGGCTCTCAAGCAGCCCGAATGGCATCATGTACACCAAGGAGTACACTGTCGACTATCACGACGAGACGAGCTTGGTTCACATGCGCGAGCTGGAAGCGGGCAGCTCAAAGACAGGGAGAACGGGACGAAGTGGTTCCCCGTTCTGATTTTCCTTGGTTATTTCTCCTTTGTCACTAGCGGAATTTTGGCTCGGAAGTCTGCGCTTGCAACGAGTTGTATGACACAATGTTTTTTTGGATACCACAAATAGCGTGAGGGACTGCCAGACGGTATGCCCAATGGTAATTGACTTAATCGACTCACCGAAAGATCTCCCTGCGGATGTGATGGCCCGAATTAGTGCGAACATGTTCCGAAAAGCAAATTCTTCGTTCAGCGGCGGTTGATCAATCAATGACAACCCGCTCGGACCCCTTCTTCTGATCGTGTGATTGAGATGGCCCCCCGCGTAAGCAGCGTCGCTAAACAAGCAGAGCTTCGGACTTGAGACTGAGAACGGGAATAGTGGCTTCTTGGCCGGCTATCGCAACCGAGTTCTCGACCGCCTCTTCTAAGTTCCTCTAACTCATCGTAGGCGGTTGAATCCATTTCGGACACCCTTCCAAGGTCGTTACCATTGTACAAGGGGCTGGTGGTTGTCTAAGGCCCCCAATGCCACCCATTTCCACTCGGAGAGATACCTCGACATTTGGCTCCGCACCCACTCAGCCGGATTGAGTCTTACCCAGGGCCATGAGCGGGCCGTGGGCGGATGCACTGTCAACGTGGTCTTGGCCTAGGAGAGATAAGCCCGCTGCCTGCTATCCGCTCTCGCCTTAGCCTCTTGCCTATTGTGGCACTCGTTTCCCTTCCTGAGCTTACGCGATATCTTGTAGCGATTGTACATGCAGCCGTGGGCACGGTTTCGGGAAACGTTTATTCTCTCGTCCAAGTCTAGTGGGGGAGGTAGCCGATGGCTCGACAAGATAGAGGCGGCATCCCCCGCCATAGCCACCGGGCATTGCATTCAAGGCGGGAGTCCGCGTGGCGTATGGCATGCACAGCGTATGTTACTGACCAATTGCAGGTTGAGCGACGAGATGTCCCCTTGCCAATGGCAGTTTTGCCCGGATCTGCATTGACGTGTCTCAGTGGGTTGCAGCCAGCAGTTGCCGACGTAACATGTGGTCAACCCTATGGAACCCCCTTGAGAAGCTATTGAAAATAGGTGGATGGGGGTCTGGTGCGGTCTGACCGTTGCGGATCGACATCAGGGGTTGGGAGTTTAAGCAATGACTTGAGACGATCTCGTCGTCTCTGAGACATCAAGTTGTTGAATGAGCCGGATAGGGCGCATGCATATTGCTGTCAGTAACCCCATGCACATTGCGAAGAAGTCTTTGTGTAAGACTTATTTCAATGATCTGCGCTGAAACCTTGCGTGATAACTTGCTCTAGTCTTTGTGTTTGCAATTGCTCACATGATGAGAAGACCCAAGACTAACAATCAATAGCATTGGTGATCGAACCTCTTGCTGTAGACTAACTATTATTAATGAAGATTTACAAGACGGAGGATGAGTGATCAGAGTCTTAATGAACGCGGCCACACTAAACAGTTTGGGACTTATTTTGCGCACATGATTCATCTCTCTTTTGCGTGTTTGGGAGGTCTTCTCGCGCCTTGAGGGTGTCCAATACTAGTATTTCTCAACAAAAGTTTAGCTTTGCGACATTGCTGTCCCTAGTTTGTTTCGTGATATAGGTATGATGACTGTAAGATCCACTGGCCCTATACTGATATGAATATTGAGCGTCATCATCCGTCTACATACTCATTTAGCCGCTTGTACCTTGGAGTACGAGCTGTACGCTATGCGGCCTCGATGTGACGGATTTTTCCCATTGCCACGTTCTCAAATCTCAACCTTGTCAGCGGGATGAAACATGGTCAAGGGCTCATATAAGCAACATCATTTACCGGAATCTCATAAACTACGACGGGCAGATTCCGAGATTCACCACTTGCGACTTGCTAGTAAGCGATGGGACATTCTTCAGCATCGATACGACGTTGCGCGCTTGGGAACCATTCGCGCTTTGACCTTTGCGTTTCCAAGAATTCTACTACACTTCGCTTGCGGGGTTTCTCATAGGTGATAGGCAGGCGGAGCTACACTACAGTCTATGAGGGACACCAGAGTCTAAGGTAGGTGGTTGTAGCTGTCACTCACCATCGCTTCAAGCGTATAGGCTATTATTGAGGTATATCACGCTTGGAGTTATCATTAGCCGATCGGCTCTTACAGAACGTAAGTAAGGTATCAACTCTGCAATGTTGAATGCCTCATGTAAGGGCACCCAGATATACGCTACCCTTCTGCTGCCTTGCTTTCGGCCGGATGAATCAGCTTTATCAGCCTAGAAATGAAAGTTGCGGAAAATTAAGTATGCGGTCGTACTCAAGTGCCTTGAGGTAGTTCACTGTGGCATACTGCAGTTACATCAGGACTCGAGGGTCTTTCCAGGCCATGTTTTGCCTCTGGCTGTAGGTACAAGCTGTACTCGCAGACGCTCCCATAACCGAGTATATTTTTTCTTTGCCTCAACAGGGGGTCCTATTAGTCTGGACCTTGGTGTATACGGGCGATCGTTACATGTACTTCTCCGCCGAAGTCCGAGGGAGCGAGTAAGTCAAGATTTCACTCTACGCGTGTTTTTCTATGAAGACACCAGCACATTCATCTGGAATAAGGAGTGATCTCATAACTCGGGGGCGCGATACTTCCGACAACTGAAAGACTAGCGTTTTCGTTCAGTCGAAGAAGTCGAACCTAGCGCACCCAAGTTGTCCATCTTGGCAAGTTCGCAACTTGCGCCATAGTCGCGCTTGCCACTCGCAATTGTCGATTTCGGAAGTAGGCTGTAGCGATTATACAGGAGAATTACTGATCCTATTCGTGTGGCAAAACATCTTGATGGACAGCCTGAATCGCCAGCCACTGCGAAAGCCACAAATTTGCAAAAGAATTGGACGGGGTGTGATATACCGTTGGTCTTGCAGATACGGCGAGCTAGCCGGAGCGAACTAGCCGATCGACCAAAACCTTCCCGGAGTCACTTGCCTGTGCGGTGACAAGTGCCGGCTTAACCCCTCGCTTCAACAATCAAGCTTACTTCTTCTAGCGTCATCTCATCACCGCGCCGAACTAAGGTAGTCGATCCAGTCAGTCTATATCCTCACGAACCATTTCACGAGTCAGTCGCTTCCAATGCTAAGCTCAGGTTGTCGACGAAACTCGTCACATCGCCGCATTTGGACCCTGCAGAAGCGTGGCCGGTCACCAGCAGTTGTTTCACATGGCTGAGATTCAGGTCGGTATCACGGTAGGAAGTACGCCATGTATTTCCTAGCCAGAGCTACCTTACGTTCAAGACATCGAGCCCTACTCACGACCATGGACTTGTGAGTCAATGGATCTGTTAGAAGTCAGCCACAACGTAAGTACTCAGAAAAATGACGCGAAATAAGAGCCATGTCGGTCTGATGAGCTGAGGCTCTCGTACCTATCTGATTTTCAGGTCTTGCTTCTAGATGAAGTAATTTCGTGTGTTCCGGCAGGGTCAGAAGACACGTTTGCCATTCCCATGTGCGTGCGGTTATGAATTCCAGGAGCCGGAGAAGTGTAATGATGATCTACGCGGTTCACACAAAAGGTCGCGAGGATTTCTTAATGGCCCTGATTTGGGAAGGATTATAGCCAGCCATCACTACCAGAATTTAACCAATTACTTTGCCTCGATTCTTGCTTGATCGAGACCGTTGGCTCAGATAGAAGCATTGGGCGGATAGAATGTTAGAGAATTCTTTGAGGAAGGAAAAGTTAACACAGTTGTAGAGCATATCCAAATGTCACAGACACCAGAGGACGTACCCGGTCAATTCTCAACAAAGTTGTAACTGACTTTGAACCTAGCCAATCAGATCACAAGCCACCAACGCTTCGCAAACCTCCAACAGATAGCCAAAACTTCAGACGGATTTCCATGATATCAAAGAGAAAGCGTGCCCAGATGGATATCAGCAACAAAAAGCTGTATTTGCAAAAGTGTATGATCAGTGGGAGGCTTGAACTCCCGGCCTTGGCATTACACAACATTTCAGGTGAAATATTAGTACCACGCTCTAACCAACTGAGCTAACCGACCGATTGGTTGACAGCGCTCAGCGCAAAAAGCTCCTAGTTACCCCACCATAGTTTTGTGACCCTCACAACCGTAGTTCCTGGGACTAGACGAGAGAGATAATGCAATCTTGGACCATCAAGTCATAGGTGAGAAAGTCTGTTATCCATGTTCTTGTACCTACTATGGCTTCAGGTCGTGTTTGTAAGGTAGTCATTGAAGACGCAATGAATGGAGATGCTCTGAACTTGCAAGTTGTAAATCAAACCGATAACTCCAGCTGCTAATAGCCTTCAACCCAAATTAACTCTATGCCTGCAAATCACTCCATGAAAACTCCGGGCGCATCCATTCGTACGTGTCCAAGAGATCGAAATTGAAATCCAACTGCGCCGAAAAGTCCCACTCCATTGCATCGCCAGACGGGTTGCGGTTCGGCGCCCCATTGAGTGCCTCGTCCAGCACCTGCTTCACAATAGTCATTGTGCTCGCGCAGATGCTGCCCGGGGCTTCGGACGGGCTCACCCACTTGAGAAAGCCGACCAGAAGACTCAGCACTTGTACAATACCGGACCTGGTGATGACTTTGCCGGTACTATCTGTGACGGGGATGCCGCTGTTTCCTAGGGTTGGTGTTGGCTTCAGTAACTCTAGGCAAAGGATTCCGCCTCCTGGAGCGGCATATGCCATGACCTGAGGGAGTCGCGGATGTCAGTCATGTAGCTCTAGCTTTGAGGTTTTTTGAGTTTGATGCATCGTTGCACTTACAAGCCATTTGAAATCCTCGCACAAGACACTGAAACCATCCATATCAGTCCAGAAGAGCAATGTGGTCGCCGTCATTTCGTAGCTGACCGACAGTAAATCCCGCTTGTTGGAACAGTCCTTCCGATTCAATAGCCGCTCAATGAAGAAGAGGTTCTGCAGATGTTCCAGCTGCATGAGCAGCCGCACGTGGAGCATCTGACCAGTGAGACTCGGATTTCGAGTGTCTGATTCCTTGAAGCGCATGATAGCTGGCATTTCGGCCGCAGCCGCGAACTCTTTCGCTTTCAGTGCACTATCAGATGAACGCAAAATTAGTATGCACTCAACTCGGACGTATAGTCGAATGATCTTGCGCTCGGCTTGCGCACTCACAGCAGAACTTCCACCGATATAGCCGCTTCAGGTCCCATAGCAACCTCAAAGATCTCGTCACGGATAATCATGAGCTTATACCGAGCTCGCCAGAATGTGACCGAGTTCAGCGCTCCATCGGGGTTCCATCCCGATTTGTCAAGCGATCTCACCGCCTTGTTGATTGTCTCGTCGTCGCATAGCAGGTATTCGTCCCGTATGTCGAGCGGCGGCGGCGTCAGGATGTATCGGCGGCTCAGGGCGGGTGGTCGCCCCGTGATCGCGGAGCCGACTTTGTCGAGGACGAAGATTTTCACGAGAAGCCGTCTCCGCAGCTCGGATGCCAAAGTTGGTTTATAGGGCCCCTTGTTCTGTTCGACGTGTAGGCCCAGGAAGGTAAGGAGTGATACTGTCTCCCCTTGTGTCATCCATGTTGAGCGACCTGCACCACATGTTAGCCTCCACCAATGAAGGTTACGTGTCTGTCGAGACTTGGCGGCTCGATGTGTCACTAGGAACTTACTGGTATCTCCGTCAATGATAGACTCGATAATCATCCGCCTAAAGTAAAGGTACAGCAACAGCGTATTCCCAACCTCATTAGCCTGCCTTGCCAAAGTAATGCAGTCAAAGATACACTTCCTGAAAGCGTTCTTCTGCCCGTATCCCATTCGTCCAACCTCCGTTCTCGGAAGCTGCTCATTCCGAAGCTTCATTTCCCAGTAAATGAATAGCAGCCCCAACGTCTCCCACCTCAGATTCTCCTTGGTAAACTGCGCTATCCATAGCTCCGGATCAGGCTCGTGCTCGAAGAACGGCCGGGACGAGTTATAGCACAGCCGCCGCGCAAACTCTGAGAGCTGCGCATCGTTCCGGTCCGAATTGTTGAGGTAGTGCCCAAAAGTACCATACAGCGAATCCAGAGCCCGCACAGCAACGGGGTGGATGAAGGCGTTGTGCGGGTCAAAGTGTGAGTCAAAGAGTGCCCGGCCCTTACGTTCGTCGGGGACCAGGCGGAGGATGAAGAGACAAGTCTCCAGCGTCCTGGCGTCTTCGGAAAGGATAATGGACCTGGCTTCCCGGCCGGCGTTAGAAGTAGAACGGATTTCCTTCGCGGCGTGTACATCATGGCCAGAGAGCCCGTTACCGACTTCCTTGTACACGTCGCTCCACGACATGAAGCCGAGGTGGCCGGACGCGCTCTCCGGCACAACGACCTCGCGACTCGGAGCGCATTGTCCATGTATTTCCGTTTCCGTCACAGCAGGGCTGATCTCAGACCGTTGGTTAACCAGTGTGGACGCAGTTGCGGGTTGGAACTGTTCGGCGCCCGTTTCCGAGCCTGTGACACTGGTTGACCGTGACGTTCGTTCCGAGACAGCATGGGGAGCTCCTGGACCTGGCTGCATCTGCGCCGGTGTACTCATTGTAAACTCGCACGGTTCCGTTCGCCTCCGTCTCTTACAATTACTGCAGACCGGACGGGCGTGGTCGCATGCGACTTTGCGACGGCGGCAGGGGTCGCATGCTTGAAGCCGACCATTCTTTCGGTAGCGGAGTGGTGAAGACGCGGGCTCCATGATGAATGCCGATATTCACAGGAAAGCCGAACTGGAAGCCAAAACAACACAAAAAACGGCATGCCTGAGATGAGTAGACATCCAAGTTTCACGACTGAGCTAGATTTTTCTTCATTCACGATTATCTTCGAGATCATTAGGGGGATGCCAGTGAGCCGAACTTTCTGAGTCTTACCGAACATCTAACCGAACAAATCTGACCAAAGTTCGGCTTCGGATGGTCTCCGCAGCCTCGGGAAGAGCCTAACCGCGAACGGCAAAAAGCCGATTCTAAGGTAACATGTCCACCTTCCGCTTTCCGCAGTCCTTTTCCCCCTACGCCTTTGATGATGAATAATGAAGTACTCAAGGGCCATTGAACTATAGGCGCAATTCAACTTTGCGGGGCTCAATTCCTCTTAGAAGGCCTCCGCGTCGTCGACTGGGCTCAACAAGGGTAGGGAAACCTTCTCCGACGTCGATTGCGCCTTATGGGGCGGCAACTCATCATGACTTGTGTCAATCGACCCCTCCCGACGCCGGCGGCCTTCGGCGCGGCGCACAATTCGCCGTATGGAAAAAGAGACTGCCCATAGTAGCGATGCCAATTGTGTTTCAAAGCGACGGTTGCACCACAAACCATTACGCCTACGATTGAGTTGTTGCCATTGTTTCCTTTCACTTGCTCATGTCAGAATGTACTGGCGGTGCCTTTAAGTTCTCTACGGGATTATTTCAAGTTCTCAGTGGTTCGCCGTAATGTCAATCAACAATCGCATCTCCAACGATGCGATTCCGCATTCGGAATTCTATCCCGAGGCAAGCATAGCAACACAACAGAAGGAGACAACCACCGCCAACGTGAGTGAAAGTGTCGCGATCGATATACGGCCTCAAGATGGCGGCCGTTTGGCTTGGCTCCAAGTTGCAGGCTCATTCTTTTTATTCTTCAACTCATGGTCGGTGGTTCTCGTTTCAGTTTCGCGGCGTAACCTGCTGTTAAGAAGCAATTCACAACTAACCTCATCCGCAGGGGCATCTTGAGCTCCTACGGCGTCTTCCAAGCCTACTACCAAGAACATATGAAGGATGTATCCGCCGACTCGATAGCCTGGATCGGCTCTATTCAGTCTTCCCTTCTCCTCTTCACAGGCGTCCTCGTCGGCCCTCTCTACGACGCAGGCTACTTCCGCAGCCTCACTTTCACAGGCATCACCCTCATCTTCCTCGGCATGACCATGACTAGCATCGCAACGGCGTATTGGCAAGTTCTCCTCGCGCAAGCATTCTGCGTCGGTCTTGGCTCGGGTTGCATCTATATCCCGTCCGTCTCCATCATCCCGCAGTACTTTTCCGAACGTCGCGCCCTCGCCACGGGCATCGTCGCTACGGGCAGTTCTCTCGGCGGCGTCGTGTACCCTCTCATCTTTCAGAGCCTGTACCCCCGCTTGGGCTTCCCCTGGGCTACGAGGGTCCTCGCTTTCATTTCCCTCGCCACAAATGCCTTTGCCTTCGCCGTCCTGCGGCAGCGCCGTCGCCGGGCTGAGTCCGAATCCGATGATGAAGGCGCCGGAAAACGGAAGCGCCGTGTCATGTTGGACCTCTCCGCGTACCGAACCGTCTCGTTTGTTGTCTTCTCCGCTGCCATGTTCTTCAACTTCTTCTCCTACATGGCGCCCATCTACTATCTCCAGCAATACTCCCTCGCCCATGGCCTATCAAGCGGGGGCTCTTCGAGACTGCCGTACTATCTAGTCGCGATCCTCAACGCGGGCTCAATCCTCGGCAGAGTCTTTCCTGCATGGCTTGCCGGCCACTTTGGACCCATTAATGTTCTCCTCGGCGTCTCCGTCTCCATCGCCGCCGTCGCGCTGAGCTGGCTGGCTGTGCATGACGCCGCGGGCAGCGTCGCTTTTGCACTCGCATACGGGTTCGCTTCTGGTGGGCTCGTATCACTGCCGCCTACTGTTATCTCGAGTCTCGTGCCTGACCTCAGCTTACATGGCACTTGGCTGGGCATGTTATGCACAACCAATGCTTTTGGTTCATTGGCCGGACCACCGATAGCGGGCGCCCTGCTTCGAGCGACCGGTGGGTATCTGGGCGTGCAATTACTATCAGGACTCGGTATGGTGGCAATGACGGTCTTGATGTTGGTTCTGAGAGTGACACTCGTAAGCAAGCAGCAATCCTGGAAAGTATAAAGGATATGTGGTTCACTGAAGAACTTCTTTTCATTTTGGGAGCAAGCTAAGATCATAATGGCTTGTTGGAAAGCGCTGAATACCACGCCTCCTAAGGCAAAAGAATTTAGTAACAATAATGTATTATGTATACTCGACATATTGATCACACAAGTTACAACACATACGAATAAGTTCAAGCCATGACTTAAGGCTAAAGAGAATAAAGACGATTGATGGATCACCATAATGTCTCAAGGAAGCAAAACGTTTTCAAGGCCTATTAGATTTGGCTTGGAATAAAGAAACCTCATGAAACTATAAGAAAACTACAGGCTTTATGGATTGCCGGGAGCCACCTTTTTTCATGCATCGTAATCTCGTGAAGTACATGTAGTTTGGAGACTGCTTGCCGCGTTCAGTCTCTTCAGTCCGCTTCTACGTATATCTGCGCTTATCTAGTATGGTCTGGCTCTGCCAAACAAGCCCACAGGCAGCGTTTACCGAGTCTATACTTTTGCCTTCGAGAGGGGCTTCAGTCAGCTGATAATATGGGCATAGATACACTCCTTCATAACCCCAATCTCCCTCTTTATAGCTGACTGTTTGTAAAACAAGCTCATTGAGAGGGTGAAGCTAGATAGATTAATGATAAATACCTTATTTCAGAAAACCCTTAATCTGAACATCGTATGTAGAATTCTGTCCTACATTCTCACTAAGTATTTTGTAATGTGTTGTTCCGTGAAGAGATGGGACTGCCATTGATAAAGATCCTGGAGTTCCCTAGTAGAAACAACTTTCAGCCACATTTTGGCGTTGGCGGACAGCCCAGTCTATTTGTGTCATGGTGTTACCGGAGAAGATTCGGTCTCAAGTTAGGATGCTTAGAAATTTGCCCCTGCGCCCACACCCGCATTGGTATCAAATAGTTATCTTCTATGGTGGTATTGATAGTCGATACGATCGGCCGGTTCAGCTTGGTAAGCCTCTTATTCCAATTCCCGTTGACGGCGCGTACAACATAGGTCATGTTCAGGGCCTTTATCAGCAACGACCTTGATAACCCCCTGATTACTCTCCTAGCACCTTCTCCGTAAAATCTTGCGCGATCGAGTAGCTTAGTCGCACTATGAAAAGTAAACAGCCATTCATTTGTCAGGGTTAGTGAATGGTAGCTTACGCAGTAGACAGACTAGGGGAGGTTGATCAGCAAACAAGTTCATGGATACGAAACAGCAAGGGATAACTTACACCTCCAGGGCAGTCCTGGTTGACATCCTCCCGATCACGAATGCTCTGGGGGGAGAAGCATGATCCGCGGAAAGTGGGGAACGCTGATGATTGTACGTTGAGGCACTTTGGTGATGATTAGATATAAGTTGCCTAGCAGAATGGCTGCAACTTACGCAATAAGAGTTTGCTCCCTTTCCCTAGACGCGCATCAATGTCAGTGATCGTATTGTACTGCATGTAAGCTTTGGACACTCACTTCACAGGTGTTTCCGCTGGCGAGACCTTGTCCACCGTTGCAGTACTTCTGCAAAGCACTAACGGCGAAAGCCTGAGCAAGCAGGGTGGTAATGACAGAAACCTTCATGATTGTTAAGTGAGAAAGAATGTGTTGTAACAATGTTTCTAGATGGTGAGGAACAGGTCTCTGTAGTGCAGCGGCGAAAGGCGTGTTCAAATACCATCAAGGCTGACACTAGAGAGAACTCCGTGTCTATATATGGCCTGAAACTGTGCGATCTGACTCGGATTGACTTTTGAAACCTTGATAAATTAAGATGTATTAGAATGCTGACGACAGACCACTTCTAGAGTCATGAGCAGTGACATTTAATATAATCGAAGCTGTGCGGGACTTGGGCCAGTGTGCTAAGCGCTTGTCGGATGGGTGGGTCAGTCAGTTTCTGATCTTGACCGCTGAACGAACCATCAACCTATCTTTGTGGCCAAGGAGAATCATACAGAAGGTAATGGGCAGGTTACAGGGGAGGTAAGAGCCAAGGCTAGGACTGAAAATGAGCACTAAATCGACATGACCGGCGGAATGGATATGATGACAAGTCGAGCAGGATGGACTTGACAAGACACAGTAAAAATATGCATTTGAGAACAAAACTCGATCTTAGATGCTGCAGTCAATACCGGAGCATCAAAGATCGAATTTCCCGGATGAGCGAAATGTTGCGGCTGGACAGAGAAAAAGACATTGACGCTCCGGCAAGTTCGGAGGCTGCGTGGGAGTTTCGCCTAGTTTCCACACCCCGGAAGTTTGAAAAGCGGAAACTCGAGAGCATCATCACAAAACGACTTCCTCTAAATTGAACAGAGGCCAGATACTTTTTTATCGAAGAAAATGAATTTCATGTCGAACTGCACAGAGCCACCACTGTTATTCCCAATGTTGTGGGTGAGGTCCCTGAGCCGGGGGGGGATTACGACCCATCCCGTCGGGTACGAGTCGTCGTCAGTATAGACACGTAAATTTCTATGGAGAAAAACTGGAGATAGGTAGATTAACGTCGACTCGCACCCGGTGGGATGAATGCCATCGAGACTTGAGAGGAAGCATTGAGAGCCTCCTAGCCAAAAGTATTCCACCTTGTCTTGTTACTGAATCCAGCTTAACCCTCCTACTAGGCTTATCCTGTATGTAGATATCAGTTGTACCTGCGGTAGTAGCAGTAAAATAGTGTGAGCACCTACAACCACCAAGATGACTGCTTCATTCCACGGCTGCAAAGGCGAATCCTCGATAAACGCGTCCAACGCGTTCGGAGAACCTCTACGCCCGACCCTACCCACTACCTCAACGGTATGTTGCTGAAGCCTACCCAGATTCAGCAACACAGGGCATTTAACTCCTGTAGCGCAAAAGGCATAGTAATGAAGACCTCAAGTGAGTTTGTTTTTTAGAGCTTGGGAACCAAACATTTACATCACTTCCATTTAACGTGTTTAAGAAACGAAACATATAACTTTTATAAGCAAAATACCGCTATAGACGATGATCCAGATAGCCATACTTTCATTCTACGTCCCCAACACGCATCCGAGACCTTGGAGCGATAGCCCGTTGAACAGACTAATGACGGGGGCCTTTTTTAACCCTCCCCGTTCAGCAATGTGGTTACTTATGGCGGGCTACCAGTCTTTATCCATTCGCCAGCTCAAACCGCGTTCAAAGACGCCAAAGGCTCCGTCAGACCGAGCTTAGCTGCCTTGATGGATGCCTCTGTGAGTAAGGGCTCGTCAAGCGGAGTCGCCAGGTCCACGTCTGTAGCACTGCTGGCATCACTCGCAGTCTCGAAAGGTCTGTACAGAGCCTCGGCAATGTGGGCCTTGGCCAGTCCATCGGCTAAAGGAAAGAAGAAAGGTCAGTTCGCTACGTCTCGAAATCAGGGCAAAATCATGAAGTGAACATACCTCCGTAAGCGAGCTCGACGGGGACGGTAGAGTCAAGACCCCGCGTTCTCCTGATGTGGGAGATGTAAGCGGCGCTCATGATGTAGGCGGGGATAGCGTGGTCCGCCAAGTTGGAGGTGAGCTCGGGAAGAGTCTTTTTGTCGTGGAGGAAGTCCACAGCCTCCCACAAGATTCCGCGCTTGACGTTCTCGGAATAGATGCCGGGCATAGCGGTGTTGTAACGGCGGTCGAGGTCGGCGACGGTGAAGGTCTTCAGGGGGGCCTCGTCGCCGGTGATGTCGTGGTTGCGGAAGACGTGGACCTCGAAGTGGTTGTCGGTGCCGATCTCGCCGGTGCTGGGCTTGGAGCGGTCGTGCTTGTCGTTGGCCTGACGGGAGTCGATAACGATGGTCTGCAGAGGGCCGCTGCGGATTTCATGGGCCTCATGCTTGACTCTTCCGTTGCCCTTGTACAGGTCAGCGCCAGGCTGCAGCCAGCTGCGGCGGGAAAAGCCATTGTGAAGGAGGTTGATCTGGGCGATAGCGATGGCGTGACCCCCGCGAGAGAAGGTGACTTGGATGGAAGCGTCGATCTCTCCCATGTCGGCCATGAGCTTCATCAGCTCCTCATCGGTGTACTTCTTCCACTTGGCGTACTCCTCCTTTCCAAAGATGTGGTCGTAGTCGTCCTCGTTCAAGGTGGTGACGAAACCAGCGGGGAGTACAAAACTGCTGGAAATCTCCATCTTGTCGGGGCGCTTGGTGTCGGACCAGCCGGATCGCATAAAGTTGTAAATCATGTCAAAGAAATGGTAGCCGCTGTGAGAGACCTTGCCGTAGCCTGTACGGTAAGGGTGGTACGGCTCGTCCACGATCTCTGAAGGCATGCGCCATTTACCATCGCAATGTGTTGAGATGATGTTCGTAACGGGACATCTTGTCTTCTCCTGAATCTCCTTGATCATGTCGAAGGTGCAGTAGAATCCAGGGTGGTAGCGGCGATGGCTGTTCATCTGGAAGAATGTTGGCTTCTGGCCTTGAGCGATCTGACGCTTTCGGAGCTCTTCGTAGGCATCAGCAAGATCCTGGTAGTCCTCGGCAATTCCGAAGGCTGCATCGAAGTCGGTGACTGCGCCGTTCCTAGTCGAGATAGGCTTGTCCATGATGATGTTCAAACCTGCGGAAACAGCCCAAAGACCATATGACTTATGGGCAAGAGGCTCGGTGCTGATGACCGCGCAGGTCACTCCAGTCCGCGCCACAACTTCGTTCAGGCGCGCGGCGACGTCGGCAGGCATGGGTCCATCGTAGGCCGGGACCAGAACCAGTTCCGCATCCGGAGCCATTCCCTTGGTGAACAAGAGGTCTTCCACTCTGTCCTTGCATCGCTCGATATCGACAACAACTTTGAGATAGGCCCTGCCCTCTTCGCGGAGAGTCTTGAGATGGGGAATATAAGTTCTCTTGGCGTGAGCGCCAGCACCGACCAGAAGGAACTTCTCCATGGCAGGCTCGGGAGCTGCCGCGTTTTCAATTGAGTTGGTGGCCGTCATCTTGAATTGTGTTGTGATGTACTACACTCCAATAAATGTTTGTGAGTCTAATCTGAAGGCCAACCTGACGAAGCTGTGCAAAGAATGATAGGAATGAATCTCAGAACAAACATGTAATTCGGTCGAAGACAGCGAGCTTCCTTTATCGAAGTTGGAGATGGCTCAGGGCAACTGACTAGAGTGTTCACCCAGTCTCCGATATTCTCAATCTTCGTGCAAGAGTCCCGAATGAATGACTTCTGCTGAGATGTTTTGGCAAGCAAACATAATCATCAGTTCAGTGCCAAGAATCCGTTGGTAAGGCTACATGTATGATGGCAAGACAGTCGGTGTTCCTTAGTCCCTCATGCCACTCTAGAGGGCCTTGCCTGTCAGCATTAGAGTTGAGCCGTAGGCAACTCGAACGGGCCACAGCTTCAATCTTCGTGAAAAATCGAACCGTTGTCACCATCGACTATTCGACTATTTCCATTGGCTCAATTGCATCATCACTCAATGCAACTGCCAAGTGTAGTTTGGAATGGTAAGCCTTAACCAGCATGCCAAAATTGCTTCTACATGGAACAAGCTGAGAGTAAACGACCGGTCAAAATAAGCACGTCGATATTAGCACAGGCAATTACCTAATTCAGGGGTGCCCTTGAGACGCATCTATGCTGGTAAGCAAGTGATTATGTGTATTGAACACACTTATGCTTCATATGTGCATACATCTAAGCAAAAAGGTGGAGCACAGGCGATCGGAAAATTTAACTTCTTGCTTAGTTTGAGTCTTTGCGTAAGCAGTTACTTTTGTATTATCTCGCTAATAGCACAATGTTCAGACCCTTTGCGATGTAGCGATACGACCAGCAAGGCTTAGTGAATTTGAACTTTCTCAGGTAAGGTAAGGTGGGTAACAGACATGTAACATGCTACGCGCTAAATTTAGTTGGGTTCACAGCACCGTTAACCGTAACGCAGAGGGATCCCCCAATACTACAGTATACATGGAGGCAACAACATCAACATGAAGTTTAGTTATCTCGTTAGTATGGCTTGGTAGAAGCTTTTGCACATGATTCCTTCCCCAATGGATTCAGTCACAGGTTTTAGGGCTACCCGACAACCACTAGAAGAGTTATACAGCTATTCTCAAAACTCCGAGTTTTCGAATAGCTCAGAATGTCACGATAGACATGGAAATACGGTGTCAAAGGGTGATTGTGATCATACAATGACAGCAGGGAGTGGGATAAAACAGTAGAAAAGTGTTATTGATCTCGTCTATGGACACTTTCCCGGCGATTTTGACCCTTTGGTCATACAGAATAGATGATTTTAGCCACAGAATGCCTACATCGCATTCACCACGGAAGCTCCTTGTGATCATAGGTGCGGAATGCAGCTGCAGTCTCCCGGGTCGCTTGGTCAATCTGCTCAACAGTTAGTTTCGAGCAATGCAGCTCGTATAACCATCCGAGCATGCATACCTCAGTGAGAATGGAGTCCGTCGCCTCAGCGACAGAGACAGGGGCCTCCTTTTTTCCGAACCTGACCGCAGCAGCGTTGCCCATCTCCGTTTGCATCCACCTTTTCACCCCGCAAAGACATTCATTAGCGATCATTATCGAACGGTATGCAAAGCAGAAGATGAGGAGGGGAGAAAGAGAGAAGTGACGGCTTACCCTGGGTGCAGAGCAAGGGCGATTAGACTTTCGTTCTCTCTCCCAATCCTGCGGACCATGAAGTTGACCGCGGCCTTGGAGGAGCCGTAGGCCGCGCAGGGCGAGGCATACCGAGGGACCTCGCCCAAACTCCCGGCAATACTCGAGATCACGACAAACTTTGGTGTCGACGATCTCGCTAAGAGGCGCCACGTAGCCTGGAATAGAAGCAAGGGCGCAACGGCGTTTACAGTGAAGCAGTCGAGGACGTCTTCAATTGGTGTCTCCGCAGCCGGGGTAGGGGCCTTGCTGATGCCCGCGTTGGCGATTACCACGTCGATCGTATCCACTCCATGATCGTGGACCAGTTTCTCAATCGCAAGCGAGGCGTCCTTCGGGGAACGGCTGTCGATTGTGATGGTGATTAGTCTGCTTCCGGAGTGGGTGCGAAAGCTGAGCAAATCGGAGGCCTGGTCTTGAGAGCGCGTTGCGGCAATGACTGTGGTGTTGGGCCGTTGGAGGAGCGCCTCGGCGAGGCCGCGACCGAGGCCTGCTCGATGCCCAGTTAGATCCAGGTGTACCGAATGGGGCTTTTTGGGAAAGTAAATTTGATGAGGCACGTACCGCGACCCGCTCCAGTGATCAAGTATGTGGCGCTTTCTGACATGGCTTGGGATAACTTCGGAGAGTGATGAAAAGTCCGTTCACGGTCTTGGGAACCGGGAAGATGTCCGTATAATGGCGGTGTGATCTTAAATATGAATTTCGAGGCCGTCTCTTTATAACAGGGGGCGATATGATGACATGCTGTTGTGCATAAGCTGAGTTTCGATCGCTTTTGCCCCAGGTCAGCATGTACTATGCTTCGAGATGCCATTTTGGAAGCGGTAAGCATAGCTGAGGCAATCTTCTGCTCGGGCTATAATTCAATACTACCGAGAAAGTTACGTGTATAGGTTATACAGCCTCGAACCTTCCTTTCCCACAGTCCGCCCACATCCCACATCCCTTGTGCTTCTTCCAGTCACTTAGAAGTCACAACTCAGCCCAACTCTGTCTTTTGCCCAACAGACCGTATATCCACTTTCATATTTCTCATCTCCATCCTCCAGAGTGAATCTCATGTGTTTAGTGCTCTGGTCCAGCCAACCAAAATCGCATCCAAGTGTCGCGTCGAGCTGCCGTTTTGAGAATGCAGCCTAGATCGGTCGTGTGAAGCACAACGCTACCACGTGAATGGACTTTCTAGTCCTTCGCATACTTGTCAGTTTACCATTTGCTTTTGAGGTTTCTGTCGTGCAGGAGACGAGCAACGAAGATGATGGCTCCTCCTCCAAGCAGACAACACCCCTAAGAATATGCCGTTAGCAATGATTTCTGATCAATAAGACGAAGAAATGCAAGACTTACTGCAAAGATGATCAGAGAATGGTACCCGGCTCGGGTCTCACTTGTAATCAACGCGCCAGCGATTGGACTGCCGGTCAAAAACGCCATAGACGTAACGGTGCCAAAAGCGCCGAGCCTTGCGCCCAACTTATCAGCAGGGATGATTTGGCCAGTGGCGGCAGGCATGACTGAGATGAAGACACCAGATGCGAAGCCGTAGAGGCAGGCAAAGCCAGCCAGAACGCCAGGGGTTGTAGCAGGGAGCCACATCGCCACGCACAAAAGCCCACATAAAAGGATCATGGGGTAGAGAAAGTTCAGCCGTCCGATGCGGTCCGCCGCATGACCGCCACTATGAAAGTTAGTTTGCTGAAGAATGTGGGTGGAGACAGGGGAGACTACGTACATGATACGACCAAAAAGACTGGCCGCGTTGATCAGCGGGAGAAGGTAAGGCCGAATGGTCGAATTCGGATCAAGGGCGACGCAAAACGGCTCTAGATTTTGTCAGACGGCGATTTGCAGGGTACGAAGCCGAAAAGATGTGGATTCATGCACTTACCAATGTAGTAGAACGGAACGTAAATGCCGAGACTTGAGATGACTGCTCCGGCTGAGAGACAAGAGTATCGGATGTCGAGAAAGCCTTTGTAGTCAAGCAGATCCCTAAGAGATCTCATCTTCCTCTTGGGCCGCTTAGACGAGGAGACGGCTATGGCTATAGCGTAGCAGATGACCATGATCAGGGCCCCGACACGCAGTGCCCACGGAAAACCAATGGTGGGAATCAGTTTGGAGAACATGATTGGCAGGCAAACTCCTCCGAAACTGCTACCGGAGGCGACGATTCCCATGGCCAGAGCACGCTTGCGGTGGAAATACTGCCCTGCAACCGTGAGAGCGGGCTATCACACTGGAGTCAGTATGTTCAAGAGCTTACAATGACCCGAGAGGTTACTAGGGATCAAGATTCATCTGCATGAATCTAGCATGCCATCACCGGACCCGGTCCACTTGTCCTCCATATGTCCAGAGTGTGGGGCCGAGGATGAGCGTTGGTAGTTCAACAGGAGGAGAGTAAACTACTTACTTGCACTCCATAGGCGACTGTGAGGCCGAAGAGAAGTGATTGGGCCAGAAATTGCTGCCAGATCGCATTCGGCTGCGTGAAGGATGTCGCAAGCATGGAGCCGGCACCACCAATGGCAGCGAACAGGTAGAGCCACTCACATGAAAGTTAGCGAATTTATAACCGAGGAGTGGGACTTGGGAGCAGGGCTACATACTTTGGGACCGTAGAGATCAAACAGTGCTCCGGCAACAGCACCTGACAGATACATCAGGGTGATCTGCAGGGTTCCGATGAAGGAAATGGCGGTGGGCGAGTAATTCTTCAGGTACTCTTGTTGATAAAAGGTCTGGAAGAAGCCGAAGCTGTTCACGACACCGAAAGATGCGAAGTAAACGAGGAAGGAGCCCGCAACGGCAAGCCATGCCTGGGTACCGCCCTCCGGGTAGACTTCATGTTCTGGTTCTGCAGGGGATGATTCTCCGTCTCCGTGCTGGGTTCCGGAGATGGATTCAGGGTCCGGGTCCGAAGAGGGGACGATGGAGCCGCCCTGCTTCTCAGACTGAGACTGATCTGATAGAGTGTTACCTGCCATAGTTCACAACGTGAACTGGCCTGCTTAAAAAGTGGGTTAGGTAGCAAGTATGCTTACAGCGAGGATGATTGGCGACCGCGACGAAACCGTCAGTGGCAGTAACGATTCTGAGTGGTCGACTTGCCGCCTTACCAAGGTGAGAAGACGAGTAGGTGAGGAGGTGAGGGTTTGATGATAGAAGAAAGACGCACCAAGGCAAGTAACAGGCAGGTTATAGTTTATATACCATGTCAGACGCGGACATTCGTAGGGAACTGCCTTAGCCGAGAACATCAAGCAAAAGTCCATGGAGCTTGGCAACAATCAGATCCACCTCTTTCTCGCTGACAGTATATGCAGGAGCAATTGTAATGTGGTCTCCAGAAATACCATCGGCAGTTCCAGCTCCTGGATAGAAATAAACGTTCCATGGCTCAGAGAGACCAGTCTGACTTATCCTAGCAGATATGGCATCCTCTGCAGGGAAAGGCTGCTTCGTGGCCTTATCCTTGACGAACTCGACCGCCCACATCAGCCCTCGGCCTCGAATGTCCCCAACATTGGGATGACCGCTCAGAGCAGCGCGCAGAGCCGCTCCCAGACGCTCTCCCATGCGCATCGAGTTCTCCACGAGACCTTCCCTCTTGATGATACGTTGAACGGCAACACCCGCTGCGCATGCCACGGGGTGCGAGCTAAAAGTGTGCCCGTGGTTCCAGACGCCGGATCCGCCGTCGATGGCATCGACCACCCTCTGATGAACGAGCATCATTGCGACGGGTGCGTACCCGCCAGCGACGCCCTTTGCTACTGTCTGGATGTCGGGGATCACATCTTCCTGTTGCCAGGCATGGTAGGTCCCCGTGCGGCCGATGCCGCAGAAAACTTCGTCAAGGATTAGCAGTGCCGAATGCTTGTCGCATACCGCTTTGATAGCCTTGAAGTATCCCGGAGGCGCAGTGTGGCAGCCCAGTGCCTAATTTTGTCAGTCAACGGTCCCCTAAACGTGATGGAGAAGCTTTGAAAACTCACACTTCCGCTGACCGTTTCTGCAATAAAGGCACAGACATTGTTGGGTCCGCGAAGCTCGAATTCGGCGTCGAGCTCACACGCCAGTCTCTCGACGTACCCCTCCGTAGTCTCGCCATTGAGCATGCCGCGATACATGTTGGGCATCGAGACAAAGGATACCATGTCGCTCTTGAGGAGCGGCTCAAACGGTTTACGGAACGCGACTTTGCCGCTCAACGCAAGTGAGCCCAGAGTGGTTCCGTGAAAGGCACCCGCTCGGGCTATGAAGCCCGCCCTATTGGGTACGCCAAGTTCCGCAAAGTACTTCACTGCGAGTTTCATTGCTGCCTCGACAGCCTCCGAGCCTTGCATCAGTTAGCAAGGTACAAGACATGGGGCGATTTAGCTACTAGATAGACTTACCAGAGCTCATGATGGTTCCTTTTGCAAGCTTTCCATTCGTAGTCTCAATCACCGCCTTGGCAAGTTCTTCGGCCGGCCGGTTGGACTGATTCAAGGCAAAGCAGTAGGACACGCTCTGCATCTGCTCGACAACAGCCTGAGTAACCTCAGTGTTCCCATGGCCGAGACAGGCGACGGCAGGGCCTGCACACGCCTCAAAGATCCGGCGGCCATCTTCGAGTATCAAGTACGACCCTTTGCCAGAGGCTACAATCGGCGGCGGCTTTCTGTGGATGTTGGGATGCAAAATGCTGGTCTTGGACTGGTCGATGACTGGCGTTCTCTCAGCTGGTGCAACTTTGGGGACGGCCATGGTGAAGGTTTGAGTGTGGGGCAATAAACACAGTATTCGGGTGCAAGTTAAGCGCGACGAGATGAGGTAATTTGGAATGTTTATAGACTGACTAGACTTGAAATAATTACAACAGTAGATTAAAAGGGAACGCCTAGAATTACGAAGAAAAATATCAGGTTGACGCTACTACTCGACAATGTTCAGTGTTGCTGAGTTGTCTCTCAAATGTGCTTACTTGCTGTACAAAATCATATCTACAAACCTTGATTACCCGGTAAGTTTCCAGCTTAGTCGCACCGGCGTGCGGACCCGTCGCCAAATTACCTAGCTTTTCTGATTTCCCTTTTCATCGTTGCTTCTCTGCCTTCCTTTTCTTAATCCCGTTGCGTTTTACTTGTGTTTCTCTTCCGTCAAGGAGAATTCAGACAGCATAAGTACCTGATCTTGGTAGACGCCTTTGAGAATATAAATCTGCCCTGATGTGGCTAGGCCTCGTTGGATCAGAACAGATATATGTAAACTCATCAAGTTCATGGGTATTGCAGCAACTAAGCCCAGATAGCTGTCAATAGCATTCAGTGTATTCAAAGTGGTAAATCGAATTGATGTGTCTTCCGTAAGGGTACTAATTGCCGGGGTATTGAGAGAAGACGATCATCTTGTACATCTTATTTTGATTTCTTGATTGTAGAGCCAACACCATCGAATAAGGTAGAGTTGGCAAGGTACAGGAAAGAATGACTTTGTCCCTTTGCTTTCATTAAGGTACCACTCCCAATATCCTGGCTCGAATGATAGGTATTATAAAGACAGAAACGTCAAAAGTCGATACATTGGGGCGCTTCCACTTTAATGAGGACGCCGAGAAGAAGTCAGTAAATTGAACCACAAGATCAAAGAATTTCTCTTCTCTAGCAAAGTGCAAGATAACAACTCTTCTCGCGTTCATTGCAATAAACTAGAGCTAAAGCTGTCTGCGCCTAAACAGTATCTCCTGTTCCTCCCCCGGAGTGATCATCGCCCCCTTAATCCCGTTCTGAGGTCTCCCTGCCTCCTTATCAACAAGGTCCAATTCGAAATTATCAACCAAATGAAGTATGATGAGCTTGATGATCGCACTACCGAAGAAACGGCCGGGACAGGCCTGGCGCCCGAACCCGAAATGCAATTGCTCGGAAGAGTAACTCGTGAACTGGTTTCTATGAGCACCACCGTCGGCCGCGTTCATCCGTTTATTATGGAAACGAAGACCGTCAAACTCTTCGGGAGAGGAGTAGACTTCAGGATCCCACGAGACCATAGATGAGGGAGCGAGGATGTGAGTCCCTTCCGGAAGATGAACGCCGTTTGAAAGGGTTACGGGCTTCATGACCTGTCTTGAAAATGCAGCTTTTCGCCTCATTAGCTTGAGCATATGAACATGGTATCAGTGGCCACTTACTCAATGTGGTAGGGTTCATTCTTTGAGACTCCTTCAAAAAGCTGTCAAGCTTTGTTAAGCTGCTAAGGATCGCCGCCTCTTTTGTGTTTGACTCTTGGCGCTTCCGCGCCTCTTGGTTCTCTTCTCGGATGGTGTCCTGATACTTCGGCATTGCCGCCAAATCCAGGACCGCATTGGTCAAGGTGACGCCTGAAGCGTGAAGAGAACCAAATCCTGAGACGAGACACATCTCGGCTACGAAGCCGTCACTCTTAGGTGACTTGTCCTTAGCTGCGTTATCAGTCATCCACTGCAGAAGGTCATTCGGTCTTTCCCACTCCTTTCCGGAAGCTCGAGCTGCCGCTTCCGCCGCACGGCGCTGCTTTATGATCGGAATCAACATGTCTCTGGCAGTAGCTTGTCGCTTCCACACATCGCAAATGCCTGAGACAAAACCTCCTCTGGCGGCAAAGGGACGCAAGGGTCGAGACCATGCCTTGAGGGCCCAGCCGCCGGCGAACAAGTCGTCAAGAAAGCCCACCATGGTGTCGAGCCAGACCTCGTCGCGGCTCAGGTCCGGACCAACAGTCATGCGAGAGACGACTAGGGCCATGATTTTGATCATGCGAGGCCAAAGTGCAGCAGCGGACCATTCTAAAGGGTTTAGCTATTAGATTACTAGGCTTTCATGATTCCTGAGCCAATTACTTACCTTGACCAGCAGGCAGGTGCAAGGAGCACGCGTACTCAACTTCTTCTCGCATACCGGGGAGCAATGCACCTTTTTGGTGTCAGTAACCTTGGATTCCTCGTTTTCATCTGAAGACTATGGTGGCTGCTAGTATCACGTACCAACTTGTCGTGTCAAGTCCGTCTGCACTGAATGGAACAGAAGATGGTCCGCGATCCTCAGCCATTCGTAATCGCCAATGATTCGCTACATAGACAACCATCAGTCAATTGTTCAGAGTGTTTCGGTCCATTATTGGACAATATCATACCGTCTGACTCGCAGCATGCACGTCAACCACATCCGTTCCCTTGGCATTGAGCTCCTCGACAAACTTGGGTGCAACGATCACCACGAAGCCGTCGATGCCCCAGACCTGATAGACACCATCTCGAAACCTCTCCCAGCCCTCTTGGAGGATGGACTTGAAGTTGTGCACGTACTTTTCTGAGGCAGAGGCGTAGTTCTTATCTTCGCCAAGATTCAAGACAGGCACGCGGACTTTCGGCTCTTTCCAGCGGTACAGGCTAATGAGGGACGGAACGACTTTGTAGAGAACGACAACGACGAGAAAAGAGGCTGCGATGGTGAAGCTCTCGGTAAGCGTTCTATCGAAGAGGTACCTACGCGGACCGGAAAGTAGGTCGGACATCTTGGCGGTAATTGCTAGGGCTTCATAGAACAGAAGCCGACGAAAGGTTCCGGCAGCAGGCGGAAGTATGTCGTCGTTTGAGATTAAAAAGTATATGAATGACATTGATACTCTTGCAACTTCTCATGAAGCTGACAGGGATCTTTTATGGAGTGGAGTTGTTGCAGCATGGTTGCTTGTGGATCGGGTAATCAAGCACGTAAGCAACCAGATAATCACAAACCAGGCATATTATGCACGTGTAAGTCGGCAAAATATCGTAAGCTTGGCATATTGAAAGGTAAACTCAGACGTATAAGCACGCAACTTCTCGAATGGTGCTTCAAGTAGGCCGCCAGAGAAGGCTCGTCGCGGCCACGTCTTGAGAAGAGCTGGAGATAGTATGTTTAATGTCATATGAGAAATCCAGCAAGACGATTGTTCCAATTTAAAGAAGAACGCTACAGCTTTGTAACAATTGCAAAAAGTCGTTTTCGTTGTATACTAAGATTCCAGTCATCATGGGCGACATCATTGATCTGCCGGACCAATCTAAATTCACGAGAAATCACTTCCAAGTCCTATCTCCAACGAATGAAGGTAAAGTAGTGGTCATCCCTTACCTACATCAGGCACAGCTTTAGTCCTTTATCTAACCATCGTCAGCCGTCTATGAATTCTCTTGGAAAGCCTACACAAATCCGATTCGCGGCAACGATTGGCAAACCATCGACATTGTCTTCGATATTATCCCAACAGATACCTCCAACAACACACGGCTGGGCCACGCGCGGGACGATGACTGGCGCTTCTCCATCTCTACATCTAAGCTTGCGACCGATTTTCTCTCTGGATGTCTACGCGCATCCCTAGAAAGCGGCCTCGGGTGCGGCCCCCGCGTCGCGAAGCTCATCGTGCCGCTCGTTAAGGGGCAAATCGTTCGATCCGATATCATCCCGCTCCGCTTTATTGACTGCGAGTTCGTAGACGCCCGGTCATCCCTAGCAGAGCCACTGAGATTCTTTTCAGGTCTGCCTGTTCAAGTCTCTCAACTAGACGACCTCGCAGAACTACTCGGAGTGTCTGCGGGTGGCCTCATCCTTCAGGCACTGCCGCCCGGGATTGAGTCACTCGAAGCCCGCTCGTTCTCACAGTTCGTCGAAGCTGAGACGGAGAACCGCTTGTCCTTCCCGTGGATAACGACGCCGACAGCTCCTAAGACCCTAGTCATCGTTGAGGGCAGTCGTCAGCACCCCAGCGATGGAGGCACGGGACCCAACATCTATCTCGCCGCCATGGCTCTGGGAATTAAGATGGTCGTTCTCGATGTCCCAGGCCACTGGTTAGAGGGTCCTGAGTATGAACACTGGCGAGAGGCTTTCATCCCCATCGAAATGTCCCAGCCTCCGGACGAAGGATTCGCAGACCGAATTGCACAGGCAGTCGCCACTTACCAAGGGAAAGTCGACGGTATTATCACCTTTTGTGACTCGTTCCAACATCAAGTAGCCCTGGCGGCGCAAAAGCTTGGTCTCCCAAGCTCCAAGCCCGAAGCCCTCATGACCGCCACCAATAAGTATGCAACCAGTGTCTTCGAGGGACGAAAGTCGCATCTTGTCTCGAGCACACAGGAGATCCTCCAGGTCGCGGCTACGCAAGGCAGCTCTCTGTTCTCCTGCATCATCAAGCCCTGCAACGGCTGGAGCTCCGAGGGCGTATTCCTTATCAACAATAACACCGAGCTCATCGAGGCCATGGGGCCCCTCGACGCGCTCTCCAAGTCCAGGCACGGCAGTGAATTCGTGATTGAGAGGTACTGTGCCGGTCCGGAGGTGGACGCCAACTTTGTTCTCCTCGACGGCGAGATCCTCTTCTTCGAGGTTTGCGATGACTTCCCCAAAAGCGCGGACACCAACGGCTCCAGCTCCGGCGGCGCAAATACATTCATCGAGCTCGACAGCGTGTTCCCCTCGAAGCTCCCCGAATCGGAGATCAACCTGCTCCGGATCTGCTTCCACAACACGCTGCTGAGGCTGGGACTCCGCAACGGCGTCATGCACCTCGAGGGACGAGTGGACAACTCGACGGTCGAGTACCGCACTGAGGGCGGCGTTCTCGACCTCCGACCGAGGGCTGCCGAAGCCCAGAGCCGGGGCGCGATCAAGAGCCCCGAGGCGTGGCTCATCGAGATCAACCCGCGCCCGCCGGGCATGAAGGGCACACAGGTCATCGAGTCC